CTCTTTCCTGCCTATGCAGGGGGTTGGACTCGATGATCTATTGAGGTCCCTTCAGACCCTAACATCTATGAATCTATGGTAAACCCTACCTCCAATAATGTTGAATGAAGGTAGCAAGTCACTGGTCCTAGCCAACATCAACTGCAGCTGATGCAGTTGATGAATATTCAGGAATAGTGCTTTAGGAACATTTACACTCTAAAAACCTTCCAAAATAGCACTCTCTGCATTATAAAGCTAACATTCTAAGTGACAAAACCCATCTTCGATGGCTATCTTGCAAAAGGAGAGTTATTTTCTGAAATAAGTGTCAGAGCCTGAAATTGAGGACAAATGGGGTTATAAGTGATGGTTGGCATGGGGTCAAATAGTTAGAGGTGACTCTCCTGGGACACCTGGCTGTGTAGCTTGGTGGAATCTGCTCTGGTCTTGAAATCAGTGCCCCCCCAAAATCAAACCTTTCGAGTCTCCTATTACTAGATTCCTGTGCTTTTGCTACAGTGAAGCTAATTTACTAAGTCACTTACGCTACTTGTACTTTGCTGTTAATTGCTGGCATTACAGGTTGATTTTATTGCACTCTGGGTACACCTGTCATAAGAATCAGGACTTCATTGTTAACATGTAAGGAGATGCTGGCGGATACCAGTTTGGCTCATCTGCTGCTTATCATCCCAATGCTCCTAACAACCAGACACTTGCCAACACTTTCAACTAAATCTATTACTTCAAGTGTCCCAAATTTCACTTGAGCCATACACCTCCTCAATATCGCCATTTCTGAGGCCCATAAAATTCCATGAAAAACTAAACGTTGAGGTTTCAGAAAAAATGCATGGGGGCATGAAAGAAAATCAACAACTTTGTCCACTCCCACTGAAATTACCTGTATACACAAATGAGGAAGATGTCATCAGCATCTGAAATACCAAATAATTGGTATTTTAGGAATAATTCCAGAAATAACAGATTGGGGGAGGGGGGAAGAAGAGCCCTTTGCACTCATTTTTGTTTGTTTGTTTGCAATAAACTTGCTCTGGTTTTGACATTTTGTCTCTATTGAAATCTAAGCTGGGATTTCCAAAGAAATGTAGGGGCATAAAGCACACAAATACCACTGAAGTCAGTAGGGCTTGGGTACCTAATTCCCTCTGACTCTCTGCAAATCTCAGCCATAATGAATTGGAAGAGAATAAAAAGCACTACATAATACTGTAGCAGAACTACATCACATCACATTGATCATTAAATACGCAACAGAGATGCTCAAAGAGACTGGGCCTGTTGCTTACATCCTTTCACAGGTTGATGAGCGCTCTCTCACCTTACACCCTTTTTTAAGGCACCTTGGCTACACCTGCACTAAACTGCCAACAGGACTTCTTGTAGTAACCATCAGCTACAACTGCCAGAGGCATCAATAAGCAGAGAGTGGCAGGTGCAGAAAGGTGGAGTTGTGCTAAGCACAGAAAAACAGGAGGAGTCTGGAGATGAGGCAAAGTCCTTCCTCCATGGCACAGGCTCACCCAGGGGCTGTTAGATGCTTATTCACAAACTGGAAGCAGAGTTCCCACAGCAACCTCACTCCACCTCCCTTAGTTAACCCTCTCACACCTGTTGCTGACCTGCATGTAGAACATGGCTTTAAAAGCCTTAATTTGGCAGCAGTAGCAGTTGGCTGCATAGCAGAGGGAGGGGAAGTAACACTGTATGGGGAGTCCTGCCTCTGGTCACAAGGCCTTGAGCTAACCACCCCTAAGACAGCTCAATACCCTGATGCTACTCTGGCACCCCCATCTCTTGGTCAGCACCTGGGGCTCATGCCCTGATCACACAGACCTACTTATGCTACTGACCACTAGCATAGCTAGGGTGGCCATCATAGACGACATTCCAGTCTTCTGCTACTCGGTCTTCTGCCCTCTATTGATATGAAATCCAATGCCTTTACATGCTCTATTTTTCTCTTCAAGAGAAAGGTGTCCGGTTCTGTATCAATAGAGGACAGAGGACAACTGGACTGTCCTCTATGATGGCCATCCTAGACATAGCACATCTGTATCCACAAGCTTCTGGCTACCCCACTAGAGCAGCTGAGCCACCAGCATTGGTGACACATAGGGGGTGCACACAGGTGCTACACATGCACCCCCTGAGATCAGCTGTGCATCCCCTGGCAGCACCAGCCACGAAACCGGAAGTGCAGCCCCCTGTTGGCAATCTGGTGCCCCCCCCTGACTCTGGAGGCACCAGTTGCCCATGGCCACCAGAGTGCAAAGTTCACTCTGGGAGGGCAACTGCTGGTGAATGGACAATGGTTGCCAGCTGAAAGCACAGGAGAGGCTACAGAGGCCTTCAGCCAGAGGCTGTGTAGTAGCAGAAGTCTTATCTGCAGGCAGAGCATAGGGCTCCCCTCAAAGGGCTTTGAGAGTGCAGAGTTCTGCCCATAAAACTTTGTAGAGTAGATGAGGGCTGAAGTTCTGTTCTGACATTGTGTTAATAATTACTGAATCAAAAATGTGCAGTTTGCTGTACCAGAACATCACTTTTGAGTCTGCTTTCAGTGAAAGCTTCTGTAGTGCTTGTGACAGAATTGACTTCAACTTACTTTTCTAATAGACTTGTGGCATATAAAGAAGTGTAATCCACTCCCCCAAAAGTCACTGTGGCTCTGAAATTGAACCAAGAGTGACGGGTGCTAGCATGCTAGTACAGATCTTTAACAGTATCAAGAAGAACAGACGTGGAGGATACAAACCAAAAAGGGTTCTTGCTGAGCATTGATAAAAATTCTCTTCTGTTGCCTGAGTAACATTTTATTATCTGCCAGGCAACTAATGGGACACACTAATTCATCACAGATGGTGCTCTCTCCAGCTGTGTGAACCTTGGGAAAGATGATTTGGTTTTTATTAAGGAAAGGAATTGTTTTTAAATCTCCAGCCCTGTCTGCTGCATTAAGAGCCCAATTAGTGAACAGGCATATAGTGTATTTACAATTCAAATTAGATGCATTTGTGTATTAGGTGTCTTGTTATAGTGAATAGCAATCATCATGTTCAGTTCAGGGCTAAATAGGTTCCCTGGCTTCTTGCTCATAAACTTTGTATAGATGAAATCTACCTCTGTGCAAAGGGCAGTATAATACAACCCATATATTTCACTCAGACCCTATTTTTGTGGATTGAAAGTGCACAAGCATGAATTTTACCCCTGGATGCTGGGAAGTTTAATCCCACATTTTCAAGGAAACATTTTTTAAATATCAATTTATTTAGTTGTCAGGGAACATTGTGTTCCATGGTACCGCTCCCTCACAGAGGTGCCCCTTGGGCTTGTCCAGCCTAGTTGTCATACATGTGGCTGTGTGCTTTACATACTGGCAAAGGGATTTGCACTAAGCACGCTGCCAGTGTGCTCATGTTCTCATTTTCTTGTTGGCAGGCAGACAGGGTGTTCTGCCAGTCTGGGACTGGAGCAACCCCAGATATGATGCATGGTTGCAGGGACCATCTTACAAATTCAAAGGAATTGGCTGCAGTGAGTGAAGAAGAGCTCATTTATATAAACTCTTCCCCTGCTGATTAGCTCTGCAATTTTCTAAAGCTTAATACCACTTAAAAGATTGGGTTTTTAATTGGCTTTTCAAGCAGGCTGACCTTTGCTGCCACAGAGCCAGGATCTGTGTATGGATGGCTATAGAAAACTAATAAATCAAGTCCTTAGGAAGCTCCCTTTAAAGAAAGGCCTTCTTAATTAGAAAAGGCCCCTCTCTCCACAATTGCACCCCCACACACAAAAGAAAAGATGAGCTGGCACATGTGATCAGTGAGGTCATTTCATTTACCATATTTCACAGTGAATAGGTGAACATTGGTGGTTAGGTTGACCCCTGGCTTCCCAATCTGAAATATACATTTTCATAGACATGGTGTATAAGTTGGGGTCAGGCTTGGCACTTGGCTAGCATGGCCCCATCCCCCTCATAGGGGATGGGATTGCACCAGCTGAGCACCATGCCTGTCCCCGTCCCTTCGCAGGCAGTGCTGAGCCCAGTGCTGCTCACAGAGAACGGGGAAAGGGATGGGGTAGGGCTCGGCTGGGCTCGGCCCCATTCTTTACAAGTGGCACCACCTATGCCACTTGCAGGGAATGAGGCTGCGCCAGCCAAGTGCCAAGCCCGGCCTTGTACCCATCCCCTGTGAACAGCACTGGGCTCACAGGGGATGGAGCTGCTGAGAGTGACATTACTGAATGCTGAGCCTGGTGCCACTCACAGAGGCTGCACTAGCCAAGTGTCGAGACAGCCCTGTCCCCTACAAGCAGTGCCAGGCTCAGCGTTTACAGCAGACAAGAGCCTGGTGCCACTTGCAGGGGATCGGGATGGGGACAGGGCTGGGGTCGGCGCTCAGGTGGCACAGCCTCATCCTCTGCAAGCGGCGCTGGCAGAGCCACTTGCAGGGGGTGGGGCCATGCCAGCCGAGTGTCAAGCCCAGCCCCGTCCATGATTTTTTGATGCGGCATGGTGTATAAGTCAAGTTTGATTGTTAGGACAAAAAAATTGGGCTTCCAAACCTCACTTATACACCATGAAATACAGTACATCTATCTAAGATCCTAGAATTTTGTTATATGAGCTGCAGAATTAAGTGATGCAGCTACATCGTGTTCCCCAGCTTGGCAGAAGGGAGCAAACAGAACAGAACCATCCTCCTTTCTCAAACAAAAGTTTGTTACATGCAGGCATTACGCAGAAGTCACCATTAATGTGAACATTAAAAATCACATTCCACTGGCACATACCAATGACACTGGCTGCTCATTATTATCAAGTTTCATATCACACTACAGTAAACACTTGCTCCTCTTGACAGGAAAGCACCAACAAGATAAGACTTTCAAATTAGTGACTTCATTTTTGGCTGCAATGCCTGCCTTGTGTTTGTGTGCCAGATATAACCTAGAAGCCCTTTAACTCCAGTACTGCGAAGTGCTGGCGCCTTAATGCAACATTTTGATTAGCCTGTTCTTTTTTTTTTTTTTTAAATCTAATAGGAAGTGCTTGGTAGCTGCCAGGATTGGTACTTTACTGAGCTCTTATATTTGGCTGGAATATTACCCTCTGTAGACACAGTAGTGGCTATGGAGTGGCATACTTGAATGAAATCACATATCTGTACAAACAAAAAAAACACTATATACATAAAAAATGTCTAAATATCCTTACAGGAAATTCAATCAGTATTTTTCTAATATTTATAAGACTGAATGGTAGCCTCTCTAGTAAATTCTTTTTTAACAAAATGCCCCTTTAGGATTTTCTTGCAAATACAAGCAGTGGCTTCCTTTCCACACATTTCATTTGTACACAATATTATTCAATTTAGCAACGGATCAGTATTTGCATTTACCTCTCAAACTAGAGCATAAACACAACCATTTTTTTTTTTTTTTTTTTACCTAATTTAGACTGACATCATCTAAAGCTAAGGATTTACCTTTTAGGAGAAGTAAATGTAAAAGTTTATCCTCAAAGCAATCTCCTTGATTACAAACTAAACCTATCATTTAGCTAGGAGAAACTGGAGCAGGATTGAACTAATATGTTCATTTTCAAGCCCCTGTTCATAATTTAAATAATAAACTGATGATAAATTTGATAATTAAACAAACATACCTGCAGCAGTGTACTGAATTCAGACCTTTGGGCTATTGTTTAGAAAGGAAAGAAACTCAGTCCTGATAAATATATATCTATGTTTATGCAATTGCAAAGTGAGTTTAACATTTTAATAAAGAACAAAAGGACGATCAAGTGATAACTTTATATCAATCAATTTAGGTTCTTTCTTTAGATGTAAAGATACCTTATGTGTGATGCTTAAATGTATCAGTTATTCTAATAACCAATGGTTTAAAAGATGAATCTGAAAGTCCTTCACTGTAGCTTTCAGCTGTGTATTTTGTTAGTGCTGCTATGCTAGAACTGTCCTCAAGGCTGGCTTTTCTGTCATCTGTCTTGCCAGCCCCCTGCCAGCCAGCCTCTCCTTGATCAGGCTCATTTTCATGCTTCACTAAACCCTTGGTTGACAGCGTTTGGTACTTCTTGAAGTCATGTTGGGTTTCGTTCTGTTCTACTGGGCTTCTGTTATGCTTGGACATTTCATTTGATAGGGGTAACTTCTGGTGCTTGTCTGTATTACGCAAAGTGGGCTCCTCTAATACGGTGTCACTTTTACGTTTCATGCTCTCAAAGCATGAAGGTTGATACTTCTCAAAATCCCCTACAGTATTTTTCTTTCGTGAACTAATATTTTCATGATTGTCCAATATATTTCTTGAGAGTGACTGGTATTTCTCTTCTTTGTGGTGCAAGTTCTTTTTTTTCGGAGTGCTCGTTTTATGCTTTGTGATTCCATCTGATGAGGGCGATTGCGGCTGCTTCTCTATTACTGTATTTTTTTCTTGCTTCAGCAACTTGTTTGATGAGTGTAACTGGCACTTGTTGAAATACTGATGCTTCTTTTTCTCTTTTACATTGCTCGCTGCAGGCTTCATAACATCTTCTGATGCAGGTATTTCTTGCTTCTTCTCTACCGCAGCTTTTTTTTCATGCTTCCCCCGTTTATTTAATGAGAGCAACTGGTACTTCTCAGAGTTATGTTGATTCTTTTCTGGTGCAATATTGGCTTCGTTCATCATAAAATCATCTGGTGTTGGTATCTGTTGCTTCTTCTGTACTGAGGTATTCTTAGGAGGTAACTGGTATTTCTCAGGGTTATCCTGTTTATTTTTCTCTTTCACAGCATGTATTTTATGCTTCACGTTGTCGGAAGATACTTCTTTCTGCTTTTCTGTTACGTTGTTATTCTCCTCCTTTGATGATGGTTTTTGATTTTTCTTAGGATCACACAAAGCATCCCTCTTTGCTGCAGTATTTTTGTCGCGCTGCACTGGATCCTTTGTTGAGGATAACTGGTAGTTCTGAAGATGAGGATGGACATTCTTCTCCTTAGTCTTATTTTCATTCTTCACTGTTTTTTTGGTTAGCATTGGATATTTCTTAAGGTTACACTGGATATTTCTTGCTCCTGCAGTATTATCTTCAGATTTTGTTGGTTCATTGGCTGAGGACTGTTGGCATTTCGTAGTAGAACAGGTGTTTTCATCTTCTGTCATATCATATTTAGGTTTCTTTAACTCTCTTGTTGGCTTTGGGTACTTCATATTACACAAGGTTTGTTTTACTCCTGGAGCCTTAGTATCAAGCTCTGGGCATGACTCGGGTGTCTCAAAATCACAAAATTTTTTCTTTTTTAAAGTATTATTGTCTAGCTCCATAAAACCACTTGATGGTTTTTCACAAAACAGATTTTTCTCAGCTCCAGTAATATTCTTTTTTGGCTTTGCACCATCACTGGATAATGGTGTTTGGTACTTATCTCTTTTACATAATTTCTCTCTCTCTCTTTCACTTCCACTTTCATGTCTAACTGTGGGATCTTTTTCTACCATTGTATCATTTTCATGCTTCCCTAGTTCATTTGGCGAAGGCAAGCAATGACAGGGCTTCTTATCTTCTATGCTACAAGTTTCATCTTTTACCAAATCATTTGATGAAGGGATCAAAGGTCTATGAAGAGCATGCCAGATTCTTTGTTCTGCAGCGTTGCTTTCTTGTTTTGTTAAACGATTTGATGAAAACAATTGACGTGTCTCAGAATTAGGCCAGGGGCTCTCCTCTGCAGTGGCTTCTTCATGTTTGATGAAATAATAAGATGGCTTGTGACAAGTTTCCAGGTCATTCAAGGTACTTCTTGGCAGGGCAGTATGGTTTTCATCATTTGTCACATCATTTGATGAAGGTAATGGGTCTTTCCCAAAGTTCTCTTCTACAATATAACAACGGCGCTTCACAAAATCACTTTCAGAATCACAGGAAATTTGCTTTACTGCTACAATATCACTTGTCTGCTCCTGGTTATCATTTGATGAGGGCACGCATTTTTTCTTATTCACAGTTGGATTTGATGCATTAGAACTAATGTTATTAAGATTAATTTGCACATTGAGCGTTTCACATGGTTCTGATTCTTGGGTTATTTGTTTCTTTTGCATTTGACCTTCAGATAAATTGTTTTGATTTATCAGAGACTCCTCATTTTGTGCAGTGGGAACTTTGCAATCATTTTTGTTACAACTTGCAAATATTTCATGCTTGTGAGATTTCTCTCCCTTTTCACCTACTTCAGAAAGTTTATCTTTAAAGCCTGGGACATTTTTTTTGCTCGACTTTACCGGTGCCTTTTTATCAGCAACTGGCATTTTAAAAGTTAGCTGCAGATCAGCAGTTGGAGACTTTACATTACAAGATGCCTGAACTACTGGGGAGTGAAATGGTGGAATGTTTTCTGATACTTTCTGCTCTGGGAAACATTTCTGGCTCACAAAGACAGGATCTTTTTTTGGCTGTACCGACTCTATTTCTGGTTCCTCTGGACTGCATGCATACATTGCTATTTCAGGAATTTCACCCCTGTTAATGTTTGGGGGACTGCACACATCAGATCCTTCAGCTATATCAGAATAAGGCAAGTCAGTAGGTGGACTTTTTCCACTAATACTTTGAGTGACATTATTGTCCCTTAACACTGAGGACACATCCAATCCACGTAAGGGGTGGTTTGGACTATGTTCAGATAAGGAAGGAATGTTGTCTCCGAGTCCTTCATTTTTACAGAAAGTAAAATTAGGGAGACAGTCAGGTCCTTGGTTTGTGGAATCTATTTTTGTCTCAACAATGCCCTCTGCATTAGTCATGACCTTGGGCATTCCACCTTGTGTAGTTGGTAACTGTTCTTTATATTCTGCACCTTGTGCTTGGTTTTCTGGCTTTTCTTTCTTACCCGACTTAATACAATCTCTGTGCCCAATGGCACTTGTTTTTCTCATTTGAATGCCATGATCAAAAGGCTGCTTACTTATGTTATTTGTTGACCAGCTCCCTGGATGGTTAATTTCAGTTACGATACTGAATTTAGGCATTGGAACTGTTGAACACACTAAATACTGGGACTCTGGGCTATTTATATCTATGGTTGTCATTGCCAGGCTGTGCAGCACTCTGATGTCTGGTTTATGAACATGTTTTTGATTTGGCACCTTTTGGTTCTTTTTTTCACTTTTGCGCGGTAGTAATGGTTTCACCTCTGGGGCTGAACGCACAGAACTGCTTTCTTCAAATTTTTCCCTCAGTTTGGACAGAACAGAATTCTTGCTGATTATTTTTGGCAAATTGCTGTTTGGCTCTTTCTTTTTCCAGGTGGGAGAGTTTTCCTTAGCTGCTTTTTCCTCTGCAGCTAAAAATTTCTTAAGAATATTTTTCACTGTATTTTTCCCAGTCAAATTATTCCACTTGCCCCTCTCACTGGGCAGCATGCTTTTATTCTCTTCTGGTGTTTGATCACTTCCATTTTTCTCCTTGTTTCTGTCTAACTTATTAACAGCGGCATTCAGACAGCCCCTGGTTACCCACTGCTTTTCTTTAATGACCAATTTGCCAACCTCTCTTCTCTTCTTTGTATATGGTTCACGATTGTTATTCATGAATTTGGACTGCAAAAGCTGAAACCTTGTGGGGCGCACAATGCTGTTGGTCCCTTGGCGTTCACGGGTACAACTCACCTTATTTTCTTTGCCTTCTGCCCATTTGGCCCTCTTGCTCCGCATCTGTGGATCACAGGCTGCAAGGTCTGTAACGTACAGCAGCAGGCTGCTGAGGACGGCAAAAGCCCCTTGTTCTGTTGCCAACCTATTGAGTTTCTTCTTTAGCACCATGGGATCTATCAGCGCCTTATCACCGCAAAACTTTGTACATTTGGTGCTGCACAAAAGAAAATGAATGCTCTTTTGAAGTAATCAACATTGCTTCTACTTCCTTATATTCTTTTTTCTAATTACATGCTATAGTGCATAAAATGGAAAGAAATACTTAAAGCTGCTTAACAGAGATATAGTTAGTTGGCTGTTAAGAGCATGCAAAATATTTTAGAAGCTTCGTGAAGCATTTTGTACCCAGAGTGTGCAGGGTTTTAATAACAATCCTACATTGTGTCATCAGAAGCATCTTCTGTGTTTTGTGACAGCTGGAAACATTCATGAGAATAAGCAACACTAATAATGATGAACATAATCTCATCTGTGCAACTCCTCACTATTTTTATACCATTGTCCCCTCCCGTAGAGAGTATCATCAAATGTTTTCACTCCTGCTAAACAATAAATAAGATGAGAACATACCTGATATGAAAATACGGCTGTGCCTATGGCTTAAAAAAAACCAAACAATAACAAGACAGGAAGGCTGAAAAGTATAAGTTAATAATTGAGTTTTGCTGTTGATACAATTTATGAAGTAGCAAGTATATTTCCAGCATAAAAAGCCATAGTGCATTCTTCCTCTTCTTCTTAAGTAGAAATCTAGCTTAGTTTTACAATTATCCATTTGGGAAATACCTTTAGGGAAAGGATCGTTATAATAACAAGTAGCAAGGGACCAAAGATAAAGCATTTTATGTAAAAATATCCATGCAATGCCTCTTGGCTACTGTCCCTTTTCAGTATTCAACCTGGAGCAGGAGTTCTGACATGCTGTATCTATATTTCAGTTTGAAATGTTGCCTTCAAACAGCTGGGGATTTAGAAAATGTTTTAACTGCTGCTGATCAGTTACTAAAATAAAATACTGAAATCAGTAGAGTGAAGTCAATAACAATAGATTGTGCTGGGGTGGAAAGGGAGAGGTGTCAGCTTTCTAGCACCAAAAGATCTGGAAAGTTGCTTCACTGTTCAGTAAGAAGTACTGGGAATGGATTCCAGCCTCCATGCCAGGAGAGTATTAATTTTTATGAGTAGAAATGGGAGAAGAAATTCTGTAAACTAAACCTGGTAGGCAGTGAGTAAGTAAAGAAAGACTGCAAAAACTGTTTATGTTTTACGTAGATTCAGCCTTGAATAGCTGATATCTTTCCCCCTCATTAATAGCAGGTTGTATTTGATAGGAAATTAAACCTAAGCCTATATTGTAATTTCACTGGGGCTGCTTGTGGGGTAAGGGACTGGTCATTGTAAATAAAGAGCAAAATCTGGCTTTTAGAGAGCACGTTACAATACACTAAAGAGAAGGACTTTAAAACCTACATTCAACAGCAGTGAAATGAAGCAATGAGCTTTAATGTAATCAGTTCTATTTATAATGACCTCAGATATTTTAAAAGTAAAAAAAAAGTTTGACAACTGGCTGATGTCTAACATAACAAACACTGCTAGGTTTCAATTGTGAATGATGACTACATTTCATCAGAGTACAGGTGTTCCCCCCACGTATACTGCATATGGTAACACTTTAGATTTAGTACTCTTTCCTTTGAAGGATAAAAGATACACAATGGAAGAAATGTTATGAAGCCAGCTCTGATGTCATATTGAGGTTTCCATGGAATGGTTACAATGGAATTTTGCAAAAATTTGATTTTTTTTTTTTAAGTATATGAAAGGAAGGAGAGAGAGGAAAGAGATTGATTTACTGTTCCCTCCACCCATAACTTTGACTAGCATAGGTCTATCTGTCCTTTGACTGCAAAGCTTGCCAATATCGGGCCTGCCCACTATCCATCCTGGAAAGCGTTAAGTACAGACTCAAACTGCCTTAATTATTAGTTCATATTGACATAGGCCACTTCAGAACCCTAATTTAAAGAAGCAATAAAGTGATTTTTCCAGAGTTTATAGAAATATTACTGTGTTTTATAAGTACAAAAAATATGCTGGCTAGGCCTGCAGCAAAATGCTTGGTTCACGTTCACTAGCCAATAATAGAAGTTGAATAAGAATTACTCCACCCTTTTAGGACATCAACAGTTTTTCCAAGATGATGTCAGCTGTAAACTAGCGTTACAATGGATCTGTGAAAATCTCTTGGATGACCCAGTAGCATAAAACTATAAACCCTGAGATCATTCTATGATATTGTTTCCTAAAAATAAATATAGGTTTGGGAGGAGGCGGGGAAGTGTTCCTACCACTTTGACAACATTTCACGAGTCTGTTATGTGTAATCTGGGGAGATGCAGCGAGCAGAATCCTGGCCATACTGACAGAGAGTTCTGCTATTGATTTCAATAAGACCAAGATTTCATCCCTAATATTTCCCCTCCTTCCTTCTCCCAGCTCTACCCCTTCTGCCACTGACCTATTGTTACATATCATTACAGTTGAGACAAACTAGGCAGATGGTTTTTTAGGACTGCAGTGAACAATGGGAATTTATTAACCCCTTCAAGGGCCAAAGAGATCTCAGTTGAGCAGTACAAGGCACTTCACCCAAACAGGGACTCCACCATGGCAGTGCATGCACTAACATCCACAGTGGGCTTCTCTTCTCTCTACCTCCAAACTAAAAGGTGCTTATTTTCTTTTTCACCATAATGATAACATCTACACAATATCCAAATGCACTGCAGCTTTCCAGATCTGTTATCTTCAATGTAAGGTTTTTGTGCATCTGCAGAAGGCTGCTTGGATGTCCGATGGATCAAAGGCCATTTTCAAAAGTTTTTGGTTTTAAACTAGCTCCCCTCAGTGCACCACTCACCAGCAATACCTCATGAAGATACAGACAACAGTTACTGCTATATGTGTGCAGGCATCTCTGAGACACCTATCACTATAATATTTGAGCAAAAACAGCTTGATATGCTAAGAGGTAGCAATGCAGTGCCTAGCTTGCCTCAGGGAAAGCATTGGTAGCAGACACCTCCTTGTCATGAAACTGGGATTAGTCTGACTTACTTCTGACAGGGGCAGAGTAGATGTTTTCCCATTCAGGCCTGTCAGAGCTGCTGATGGTGGGATAATGAGAAGGAACTCACACAAATGCTGAGCCAGTGATCAGCCCCTACATTCGTGTTCCTCCTCTTCACTGGGCTGGGGCCACAGAGGTTTCTGGAGTGCTAAACTAGCAGTAGGTGATCCTCCACACAAGGTGCAGGGAATGCATGTCAAAAGCACACACTTTGGAAGGCTTCAGAAGAAGTCACACTTTTACCATCAGAAAAGGGGAGGGGTACTTTTGGCCTTAGCTTCTGTCATTTGATGGTACACTGTTCACGGCTCTTTGGCTGTCATCCACTTGCAGTATTGTGGCTTTCCAGCGCCACATGGGAGCCTAGCATTAACAAGTAGCAGGACTGCAGATCAACCTTTTCAAATCCGTCCCTGCCAGATTCTGTCAAAATTAGGGGTGCACCGATAAAGATTTTTTGGGCAGTACCGATGGCCAATTATTGACCAGCCATATCGGCTGATACAGATCCGATTGCCAATATGCAGCCCAGCAGCTTGGAGAGCAGCATCCAGCTGGTAAGCTTGTTGGGGGGAAGGAGCATGGGATGTGCAAATTGAGGCACCCTCAGTGAGGAAGGGAGTGGGGCTGGGGCAGGTGCTGCCCAGGTGCAGTGGGGTGGGGTGGGGCACAGGATGGAGCTGGTGGCTCATCCGGAGGGCACAGGGGGATGGGGAGTGGGGAGAAGCTCCTGCTGCTGCTCACACCCCTGGGACAGGCATGGGGAGCACGTGCCACCTTGGATTTGTGCGCAAGGTGAGGGCAGGCTGCCCATTGTGGGCTTGGAGCTGGGGCTGCTCCAGCCTCTTCCCATCAGCTGCGCTTGGGCCGGGCCGGGCAGGGTGGGTGGCGGCGGTGCTGGGAGGGGGGGCTACAGCAAATTTTGGGGTGGCTCTAATCCCCCTATGCCTCCTCCTTCCAGCGCCACCACCTGCCTCACCAAGCCCAGCCCAAAAGCACCCACTGGGGAAGAGCCTGGCACAACCCCAGCCATAAGCATGCAGCGGCAGTCTACCCTCGCCCCATGCACCGATCCAGGGGCACATGACCCCCATGCCTCCCCCAGGGGTGCGCACAGCTGCAAGAGCTGCACCTCCCTCCCTGCCCCCTAGAATGAGCCACTGGCTCCACCCCACATCATCCCCCTTCCCCCCAACCCCCTCCAGACTTACCAGCCAGACGCTGCTCTCCAAGCTGCCAGGTTGCATTCCTGACCCCGTGCAGGCTGCATCTGCACACATGTACACAGCATTTATCGGTGACATTATCGGCCACGTCAGCCAAAAAAAAGCTGATTGCCGATAATGTCAATTTTTCTTTTATTGGTGCTGATAAAATATGGACCAATATATCAGTGCACCTCTAATCAAAAGCTTTTTATAAAATGTATGGCCCAGAACAAGTGGAATTTCCTTTTAAAACAGTAGACCAGAGGGCACTTCCTAGGGGCACACAGAAGTAGCTGGAGGTGAGGTGCAGAACAATGGTGGCAGCAGCACGGCAAGAACACTGGAGCAGAAGTGGTTATTTTCTTGAAGGGTCCAATCCAGCTCTTAAAAGTCTGTATATGGCTGTGTGAGGCAGAATGAGAAGATCTCTTATCTGGCAAACAGTATTTTCTGTTGCCCTGTTCCTCTCTTTGCATCTGCACATAGTGAGCAACCACAATGTTCTTGTTAAGTTCATCAAGTGAAGGCCATAAGGTCATCTTGAGGGCCAGCCATTCATGACAGGCTGTTTTACAATAATTGGTTCCCTCGGCATTAACTGAGTGGTTGAAGGCTGCTTATTTAACTAGGTGGGGGAGAGAGGACATGGGGAACTAGCTGCTTCTCAGGACCGCTTGCCAATACTAGGACACTTTGTCCACTTGCACACATACGCTTGACACCTGTAGTTTGTTGCTGCAACTGGTTATTCATGTTCGGGTAAATTAGGATATTTGCTTTCTATTTGTACTAGCCTGTTGTGTGTCTGGGCCATGTTAAACAATCACAAATACTCAGTGAGGCAACTTTTGTTTTAATGTATTTTCTTATCATTAACAAGTTGTAAGAAATTCTTAACAAATGTTCCTTGCAGATGGGTTCAACGCAAATGGCAGTTCAAAGCTGACCAGAGAAGATGGTTGGTGTTTAGTTACTGGGAGAGGAAAGTAATTTTAACCACACTAGACAGACATTTCAAGGAGCTGACCTATCACAGCTCTTACGTGGTCTAAATCAGATGTCCATGCTAAGGTGGGACAAATGTGATATGTTGGGGCTAGCTGCCTTTTCATGTGATTTGATTCAAAGAATTGCCTGAAATTAAGGAGAGCAAGCATAAGCCTTCTCTCCCTCAGCTGTTACTCTTATTCAGGTTTACATTTAAAGATTGTCCCTTCAGTGCTGATAAATTTGACAGTTTTCCCTTTCAATGATGGAAATAGTGCTTTTTGACCATTTACATAATTCATAGCTATCTGCATGAAATGCCTTTATACCATTAGATCCCCAACTGTACAGCTAGCAGGGGGTGCAAGGCAAGGCACTTTAAAATGCCTTACTCTTTAAAGGCAAGGGTGTAGGTTGTAGCCATGTTGGTCTAAGGACATAGGCAGACAAGGTTCCTTGGGTAAATTTCATATCTTTTATTAGACTAACCCAAATAGTTGGAGAATAGTTATTAAGCAAGCTTTCGAGTTCAAAAACCCGTCATCAGGCTAAGGAAGTTTCAGCAGTTGGTGTGTGCTCTTCCTGGATGGAATGACGGACTTTTCATTCCATCCAGAAAGAGCACACACCAACTGCTGAAACTTCCTTAGCCTGATGACGGGTTTTTGAACTCGAAAGCTTGCTTAATAACTATTCTCCAACTATTTGGGTTAGTCTAATAAAAGATATGAAATTTACCCAAGGAACCTTGTCTTTAAAGGCAAGGCACTTATTCATTCTGATCACAGAGACTCCCTGATCCCAGGATTCCTGTGCACTGGGGATGTGAGAAAAAACATATGTGGAACCCAGTTGCATATACAGGTTTTATAGGTCCAGTTACATGGGGATCCTGGGATCAGGGAGCCTCACCCTTTGGTCCTAGTATGTCAGGACCCCTAAAAACTGTGTGTGCAGCCCAGCTGTACACATGGGTTTTAGATATCTACCAGGACTCAAGGTAGATCCCAGAGTCCTGCCAGGGAGCCTTTGGGTTTGCTGCCAGCTGGGTAGAGTTGATCGTTGCCCACCATCCAGCACTTGCACACCATGCCTCAGGCTTACTGCTGGCAGTAGCATGACTGGGATCCGATGCTCTCTCCCAACAATCACTATTGCACCATTAAGTGAACGAAATTAAGTTTGGTCCTTATCCATATGGAATGTTGAAGTGTGGAAAGCTTTGATAAATTCTAGGAGAATAACATTGAGAATTGTTATAACACTTTTAAAACACAGGAACAATATTTTTTCCTTTGGAGATTTGTCTTCCTGTGGAAAAAAGGAAAAAGTTACACATACAAGAGAAAATCCTACCTTATGCAGGACATGCTCTTCTCTCTTCTTTATTGCTGATTTTATTACAGGGAATGCTAAAGGCATCATAAACTAGAAAGAATGTTTTCAGCAAGTCCTGATGTTCTCCTATATAAAATCAAAGGCTACAAAGAGAAATATCCTGCTTTGTTTAACACATGCTGCCCAAAATGAAAAAGCAAGCACCCAGCAATGATGCAAAGAAAGAACATGCTAAAACAGAGCTACTTAAAAGCTACTCGTTGTAAGAACAATTTTTTAATACAGAGATGTCATGCAGACCATCTCTCCTATAATGCAGTGACATGGAAAACCTACTCCCCCTTTCTATCACATAATATCCCTATAGACAGTACAGCAATTGCTTACATGAAAAAGTAATGGGAAAGTACTTATGTATTTTTAGCTTTATTTTTAACGTAATCAGCAACTGGAGAAGGAGAAACCAACAGCATATAACCTGTCAGCATTCTGTGGACCATTAGTAAGTTCCCTGCGAAGAAGTTTGAACTTCTGTGCTTAAACATGGAGTTAAACATACTGGGCCAAGCTCTGTTGTCAGTGGCCATGTTTAAATGCATGTGGTTACTGTGCATTTATTCAGTACTTGTATAAATGCATGGTAACTGAAGTTACTGTGTAGTAGCACCTGCAAATGCCTATTAGGGATGTTACTACACACTAGCCTAATAACACTGTGCAGTAGTGTATTAGCACTGTTTGTGCTGTGACACGCTACCAAGTACTAAATAAATGCACAGTAACTGGATTTACTGTGCCGTAGTACCCCAAAATGCCTATTAGGGTTGCTACTGCGCACTAGCCTAATAATACTGTGCAGTAGTGTACTAGCACTGTTTGTACTGTGACATGCTAACACACGGTATTATTATTCGGCTACTGCGCAGTTAGCATCTTGTGCAGACGCTCTGTTACTCCAAAATTAACACAAGTATAATTCCATTATTAGGAGTTACTCAAAATATATGCCAGTGTAGTTGAGTCAGTCTTATCTCCACATGTTCTGCTGTTAATTTTATTCAAATCAGATAATTTTTAACTAGGTCACATAGTGAGGTTTTTAAAATCCAGGGAAAGCAACCATAGGCAGTGTATACACTCTCTGCTATAGCTGCTACTCTTAGTCAGGTTGACATTTAAAGACTGTCCTGTCATTAATAAAGTGGTAGCCAAATTGACCATTTTCTCCTCCAGTTGATCTTTGTATAGTGATTTAAGAAAAACAGAAGTATCAGTTTTCTTTTCCTATCTCTCTGTATTTCTCAGTTGTGTGTGAAACAGGTCATCTATCAGGCTATGATATATTGCAACAGTTTGAAGACCTCAGCCAAAAATTCTGATACTGATACAGTAACATATGAGTACAATCTAAAAATAAAGAACGATGCTTATGAAGAGCATAAGATTAATTTATTTACAAATATTTCAGCCAGTTGTATTTTTTTAGGGTTTTTTCCCCCCTGAAGAATCTAGAGTTAAAACAGATAATTCAGAAAGGTTAAACACAATGACATTTTGTTGTACCTTGGATGTATTCCTAGTCTTAGTTTTTCCTTTTTGGAAGCTTCTAACATAATAATACATTGCAGCATACTGCTGACAAAGGGTTAACAGTTCATAAAAAGATAATCTGAGAGACATTAGATTTACAAGCATCAGAGACTGTTAGACTGGAGGATGAGGAGGGGTGGTGGGAGAAGGGGGAAGAGAGTGGTAACAAGAATGATCAAATATTTAAAAGTATACAGGGAACATCCCCTGTAAAGGGTAAGACAATTAGTTTTGGCAGACAAGTATTAGTTTTTGAAAATTAATTACATGTGTAATTACTAGTCATAGCATTCAGAAGGTGACTTTATAGCAAGTTAGACTGAATTTGATAAAAGGACGTTTTCTTTCTTTCTTTTTTTTTCCATTTAACATAAGCTTTACTCATCTGGACTGTATTTTACTAGTTTGATACTCAAAAATCCCCAGAACACATGACAAACTGAACATTTACAAGTTCAATTACTCTTGAACTACTCAGCTCACTGCACTGGTGCACATTCTACAGAGCCTTTAAAAGTAAGCCTCAGCCTATCACAGTGTTATTAAAATTAGTTACTTATCTACAGTATTTGATATAGTCTTTAAAGAAAGAGAAAATGGCAGAAACTGCTTTACTTTTCCTCTGTGGATAGTCGGTAAAGAGTCTCTCCCAAGTATTCTAGCCTCTCCCTTTGCTCAAGATCCTGGTACAAGCCTTTAGGAACCTTGCTCAGGCCATAAAGTAATCCATACAAGCAGCCAGCAATGGATCCAGTGGCCGCACTCTCACCTGTAAAATTAAACACAGTAGTGCATCACCCTGTTACAGCCATTTGTAATTGCACAGTATTAAACTGCACTATTCAGGGAGGGAAGCAGCAGATCAAGGAACCTGGCAGAGGCAGCCCAGCCCCCCCAATTTTGGCTGTGCAGTTGGGGCACAGTGAACTCTGATCTCACTGCTTGGTTTCACAGAGTCCTGCCAGAGCTCTGAGTTCACCGGCTGATCGGCGTGGGGGTCTGACAGAGGCTGCTTTTGCATGGCTCTGGAGTACAGGGGGGGGGGGGGAGCACTGTTGCTGCTTACCCTATCCTTTCCCACTGAATTCGGCAGTAGAGGAAAGGAGGGGGATGAGCAGTGGCTCAAGCCAGACCTTGCACCAAGAGCTCACATGCAACACAGCCGAAGGGAAGCATAACTGCACCCGCTCTAGAGGGAAGCATTAAGTCATTATTCCACTGGCAGGTTTTGTGGCGTCTCAATGAGACTCTTGGAGTGGGAGCTTTAGGAGGTTCATCAGTCTTAACTGGAATCCCTGCTCTTCTCCCCTGCCACCAGTGCATAATATATTGCACCTGAAAAGGAAGAGAGCTGCCCTGCATCAGCAGACTATGCTCTTCCCTGTGGCTAATGTGCCTCTGGTCTCTCACCAGAGGCAATTAGCTTTAGCACAACACTACCTGAACATAGGTGGCTACACCATTTTCCTTTTGTGGGATAGCTTACACAGTGAAGCCAGTGGAGATGTTCCTGTGCCTTGTGCTGTGTAGACATGCTTGCAGAGCCACAAAGTGAAGGTAAACCCTGAGTTTCATGTGTCCCAGCACACGAATTGGCTCCACTATTCCATTCAAAGCACACTTGGTAGGGGAGATTCCTTGCCCTGCTCTGTGCTAAGAAGAGTACAGAGAGAGGGAAGCTCCCCTTGCTCTTCCAGGGAGGGATTCCCCTTGAGCAGGCACCAATCAAGCAGAACTTGTTCTTATGCTCCTGGCACAGGAAGCATGCAAAAAAAACACAACCCCCCCCCCAAAGTACAAAACAAAAGACAACCTAGCACTTGCATTTTCTCTGTTGCCTGTGCAGCAGCAGTGAACAACCATGCTGACATTGCGGATTGTGTTGATTTGCAAACAAGGAAATGGGTGTGCCATTAGCCTCAGAGTGGTGGGGGGGAGGGAAAAATCGATTTGCTAAATGGATATGAGGCTAAAACTCATTTCAGCAAGCGACCATGCTTTCCTACTGCTAAGATGGCAGCCCATAGATTTGAAGGGTTTCTTAGCAGGGCGTCAAGCTAATGCCCCCTACATTACAAACAAGCCAGTTAAATTTTTAAAAAATGGTTTTGAAAGGTAAAGAGCAATGTCTTTTGCATTACAAAATAGCAATGTAATTAAATTAAAGCACTATATTTGGTAATGTTTGGAAAGATAAATGTGCAACCATACAGAAAAATTCCTCACACACCCATGTGAGTGGCACAGCTGATTGAGTTTAATTGCCACTGGGAAGGAGGTAGCAGGGTCACCACAACACAATAAGCACTGACTTATTGCTCTTTTCCTTTAAGGAAGAAAAAACTTATGCTCAGAAACATCTCCCTTAATTTAAATAGCCCTTGATGTGCAACATCATCATTGTTACCTCATTACTAGATAGGAAGAGCAACTCCAGAAACATCTGTTATGGTGCAAAATCTTTGGGATGCGGAACATATCTTACTCTAACACATTAGGGAATGGTTAGCAATTTAAAACAAGTAATTGCAATAATACACACACTCAGACATTGCAACTATCTATGACAGCTTGGGGTCAGATCTTGTTAGCTCTCACCAGCTAACCAGGCTTGAGCTACATTGGCACCACAAGCCCAGTATCCACTGGATGTCTCAGTGGAGCTGGTGGTTCAGAAGGTGGCCCCCACTTTCCTTTGACCCAATACTGACCTAAAAGCTGTGCACAGAACTAGGGAGCAAAGTGCTGTTGGAGGAGCTCTCTTTTGCAAACCAGACACATGAACCATTCGAGCACCTTAAAGAGCAGGTGGCATTTTTCACAAGACTAGGGATACCAAACCTACATCCTAGCTGGGTGTGCTGGCCAGGGCCGGGAACCTCCCATGCCCAAGGGTGGGAACAAAGCGTGTGGGCTGAGTAGGGTACAGTTAATTGGTGGGTACGAAGAACCGGATAAAACTGCCTGGCAGGCTGGATGCAGCCTATGGGCCTTATTTTACCCACCCCTGTCCTAACCAATTCCCAACTTGGGTAAATTCAGCTTACCTGAATCCTCCCTGCTGTTTTTACTGGACACAGTAAACTTTGTCTTTCCCTGCCCAGACCCCTTGTGTGGTTGAATAGTTGCTACTCTAGAGATGGATGAAGCAAATCTTGTACCAAGACATCCTTGATGTATGTCAAAGGTAGGCTGTGAAGCTTAATGTTTGCACAGCACTTTCAGAGCCTTGAATGACAGGTGCTATTACAATAGGAATAATAATGATGTAAAGCTGCTATAGCAGTAATAATACACAACCGTAGGTTTCGTTTACTCAGCAGATTTCCTGCTAAGGTTTTTCCTCCAACAAGACAAATATTTCTCGTTTAAACTTCACATTTCTTGCAGCAATGATAATTTTGCCCTTTAAACCCTGAGGGATTCAAATATGTGATGTTATAAAGGAACACTCACCGCCGTGGAACATGGCACGGTTGCAAAGTTCTGTCCAGTCACCACCACATCCTAAAATAGCATCATATGCAATCATGGGAGCATCATGCCCTCTTCTTCCACCGCGGCCTTCTGAACTCCACCTCCTGTAAGTCTGAAGGAATAACTACAGTGTCAGTTTGAGTTCTAAGCAGCTGTTCAGTAGTTCTTCTGCTGTGAAACACAGGCCAATGGCATAACTAGGGGTGGGTGAGAGGGGCACCAAGCCCCAGGTGCTGACTTAGGAGGAGGGGTGTCAAAATTGCCCACCAGAGTTGCTCTTGCAGCAGCAGCCAGGGCATAAACATCAAACCACTGCTGCTTTAAGAACAAGAGCTGGAGCAGGCAGAACATGCAGCAGCAACCATCAGGGACTGTTTTGGGCAAAACTTCAGTTCTCCCCCTATATGCCACCCTCAACTCTCAGCACTGTGCTCCCCCCACCCCACTTCCATTCTCCTGCAGGGTTTGCCCAGGGCAAAAACCCTACTCATTACAACACTGACGCAGGCCCCTAGAAGATGGATCCAATCCCACCTTTCAGAGGAAGTTCCTACCTTGTAATGTTACTTGACATATTGGAGGGGTCCCTCTTACCTTCCCATATACAAAAATACAACTGCAACATTAAGTTTTGCATATATTATTTTTCACAGCCCTATATAACTGCCAAACTCTCTGTTCCTCCATGGGATGGTTGCTTTCAGATGCAACACTTCCCTCAGTGATGGACAAAGCCGTCTGTGCCAACAGCAGTGATTTGCCACACTTTCGGACAGGAAGAAACAGAAAGCACTTGCAAATACTTTGCAGGCTAAATTCTTGACCCAATTTGACTGACAGATTTCAAGAAGAGGATCACGTTAGAGTCTAATTTTATATCTTGAAAGTTCATACTGTCTTGGAAATTGGAAGTAGAATAAGAACTTAGGAGGTTGTCTTGCCCTTTTCTTTGCCACTGAGAAATTGTTCTTTCTTCACCCAGTCACATATTCTCAGTTTAATCCAATCCAGTTTTAAATGGGGCTTTCCCCACTTCATCAATACATTTTTTTTAAATGTGTCAGATTTTGAACATTTTAAGTTTTTTTTCTGACCCTTCTCTGCCCCTGCTCCTACAAACATTGGTCAGCACGAGAATGAAAATGATATCTGAGTGCAAAAGCAGATTTCCTTTTCAGCAACAAAAAGACCTGGGACTCTCAAAATGGACCATGCAGGACTCAAGTTTTGCCTGTCCATAATTCCCAAGTATAACAAAATCCACCTGCTCCTCTTGTACAGTATAATAAGCATTTGACTTACCAGGTAGCCTGCAAGCCTGTATTTTCCCTTAGATTACAGGATGGTAACTTGAATTTTTCCAGAGCTCAATTTGACCGTTAGGTTCTGTGGCACACAGAAAACCTCCTCTTGCTTTCCAGTCTATTCGCTTTCATTTCAGCTTCATAAATTTATATTCTATACCCCTCCCCTCCACACAAACTTCTATGCTAGAGATGACAGTATCTGAGGCAGGAATGCAGTTTCACTTCTTCTTTGTTTATATGTTTGTAAACAATAAGCAGCATCCATCCGCTGATATGATCCTATTACACCAGAATGTAAGGCTTCAGTTCAGTTCTGCAGATCTTTAAGGCTTTAGATGATTTCTGTGGAATAGTACTAACTCACATGTATAGTCCCACTGGAAGCAAGAGGACTATTCACAGAAGTGCTATGCTGAGTACGAGTTGCAGACATCTCAAGTGTCACTCATTTGAGTTTTGAAGGTACCTAAATGCTCTACACAAATTTAGTGGCTCTTCACTTTGAGTGTTGAAAATTATTAGATTGGGAACAGATAATTATGAAATAGAAGCAATAGAAAATAATTCACGCTACAGGGATGCATCTCACAGCATCCTAAGTTCCTTGCATGAATAATTTTTTGCTCTCCCACATTTTGAATCTTCATCATGTAATGCGTCCAACCCTGGAATCTTGACAACCTGAGAGGAGTGCTCCAAGAGCCAAGCCACAGAGCAAGAGGGAACTGCAGCTTCTTTCCATTTGTACAGTTTATGTAACGCTCTTTTTTAACACCCAAACTTAAAACGTACTGTAAAGTAACTTGTCTTATATCTACCCACTGCCTATTTATCTATGCCCTCAGAGGCCATATCCAGATGAGCATGGCTGTGTGGTATGGCCACATACCACACATTCAGTTGTTCTCCACACTGCAAAGAAGCAGCAGGGGGGGGGGGGGGGGGGAGTGAAGTAGCAATGCATGCGCACCACTCAAAACCAGAGCCTAGTCGGCTGGAGCCGCACTACTGCTGCTAGCCAGGCTCCGCGTGGCAGTGGCAGTGGCAGGATTGCCACTGCTGCAGCCCTGGGAGGCCCCAGGACACAAGGTAAGGCTGCTGGAGCCAACTCAGTGCTGGCTCCAGCCTCCGCTACCCCAGCTGGGGTAACTTGCTGCACACCAGAGGTATAGGCAGATTAATACATGGGCACATGGGACCCAGGCCCAGGGGCACCGGGATGCTTGAGTTCCCTCAGGAAATGGTAGGTTTCCCCTTGCAGGCAAGCAGCATTCCAGTCTGCAAGAGGTCCTGCTTGAGGCTGCCAGGAGCAGGATGCAGGGGCGGGGGAGTTTGCCACATGCACATGCACGGACAGCATGGAGAACAGCTCCCTGTAGGTAGGTCTATGGATGGGAAGAGGTATGAGGGAGGGAAGGGGTGTGTCGGGGGCAGATCAAGGCCCTCAGGCCCCAGAGTCAGGGAAGGAGTGGAACAGAGGCTAGGGGCAGTGCCCAGTCAGGGTGGTGCCTTGGACCCAGGGCCAGGGCAGGGAGCAGGATGGAGCCATGGCCAGCTCATCCAGCAAGCACAGGGGGGTAGGGAGGGTGGAAATGAGGAAGGGGGGCAGCTCCCCGCCACTGTGTGCATCAACCCAGGGGCCCCGCTGGCCACACACCCTCTGCCCATCCCCAGCAGCAGTGGGGGTGGTGAATTATGCCTCCCATTGCCAGGTGGGCAGGGGACATACGGCCAGTGTAGGGCCCCCAAGGCAAAGGCAGCAGGGCAGAGAGCCCCAAGCCCACAGCAGACAGCCCACATCCGCCTTCATCCCATTCGGCTCCACTCTGCTCCAGTCGTGGGGGTGGGGGTGGAGGGAGCAGTGGGAAGAGGCAGGCATGTGCCACCCCACCCCCAGCCCAGCCAGGCCCACCTAGCCTCCCCCATGTGACATGAAGGCCCACCTTGCCCTTGGCAGCAGCAGCACCAGGAGGGGAAGGGGCCTCTCCCCCTGCCAGAGTCCCCACTGGAGTGTGGGGGGCCTCCAATTTTCTGCTTGCCAAGGGCTCCAATAAATCTTAATGGGACACTGCCCAGAGGGCACGTGGCACAAGGTGTGCCGCTGCTAGTTTTCCCCAGGGAACCAAATGACCATGCACATGTGGACACGGCCAGAGAGGGTTAATTCCCTCGCATTACTCCCCAAGGTTCTGAGTGGTTTGAAGATTTAAGAAATAGCACTTTGTCTAGCATGAACTCTTTGTTTCTTGCTGAACTGAAGTGTATTTATTTTTATGAATAAAAAAGGTCTATGAAAATTATTTAAAGAAATTCATTGAGCTGTATGGGCCTAACATACAAAGCTTGTGGAATTCGTGTGTGCACATTCACATGGGGGTTTTCCATGTGAAAAAAATGCACCCAGATTTTTAGTGTGACATTCTGGGCTTGCACATTCCTTTATCAGTGCACCATAAAACAGGAGTTGGCAACATTTTCCCAGCCTAGGGACTGGTGGCTTAATGTTGCTCCATGCTACCCAATCCTCTGTATGACCTGGGCCAGACTGGACCACTCTGGACTGGATCCAATCTTTTTATGGCCCAATCCAGCACCAAGACCATAGGTTGCTGACCTCTGCTGAAGAAAGATACACCACTGTAGTTCAATACACAACTGGCACACTGAAAGGCATGCAAGAAAGAATCAAATGCAATTTTATTTTGAAAAGAAATTACACAGTTTCTACATGTAGTTTCTATCCATGACTCAAGATTAAATATAGTCAATTTACAAGGAAAAATGGAAGTTTTCCATCAGTCCTGGTGACAAACCTGGGCTCAGAGTTAAGCAAAGACCTTGCTTTAGGTGCATGATTATCAAAGGCTCTGTAGGGCTAACTTGGTTACACAGGTGTACATGAAGGCAGAATTTGTCCTTGTAATTTGAATCCTGTCAACTATTTTCTTGGTAACAAGTGAGGTAGAATAGTATTCACTGCCAGTCTCTCATATAATAGCTGTGTTGACTCTATAATACTGGCAGGAGCAAAAACTAGTAAAAACCTTATTGGCACTAAAATAAGAAAATATGACTGAATGCAACCTTTCTCTGTGTGTGCAGAGTATGCAGGTGGTTTTTGTTTTTGTTTTTTTTTATTATCGATCAACAATCTGTCTTTTACTGGCACCATTCACCATATACTTGAGCCCCTAAAAAGTTTACACAGTGACTTCTCAGAATAGTCTGGGAGGATTGATTTATGGGGAAAGGCGACAAGAACTGAGTATTTATTGCTTGGCTGCTAAGTGGGGAACATGAGAAGTGCCTGCAAATATTGGAAAGTTGTAAACACCAAAGAAGGAGAGGCATTTTTTAGCTTGGTTCAAGGAGATCTAACTAGAAGTAGCAGGTTTAAAGAGAAATAAAAAAGACTATGAAATAGTTTCTCATGGAAAGTAGTAAAATACTATTGGAGAAGAATCAGTGAAGGGAACAAGGAAGTGGTCCAACAAGTGGACTAAAATGCCAGGTACAGACATTACGCTTATACCAGTATAAGCGATTGGAAACTAGTCCACGCCCCGTAACAGAACAGAAATTTAGCACACAGACCGATTTAAAAATGGCAGAATTCAGTCTAAGATTTCCACACACTCCACCTAAGAGAAAATGTGTGCTCTGTTCACTACCGCTCTAACTACGCTGCTTACAGAAAACTGTGTTAACTTAGATTGATTCTGCCTTGAGCTTTTTGAAAGTCTGTACCTAGTCCACATGGCAAGTGTCTAAGGGCAACCTAATTTAGTGAAGGTCAGGCACCTTTTTAAACAGTAACTTTTATGTCTTTTCCATCTTTAATAGCTATTTCTCATTACAATTTGGTTCTCAATATTGCACATTTCCTGGATGTTGAAATACTTGGCTAGCATGATATTTTCACCCACTGCATTCCTCCTATTCCATTATTGTTACTTAGTGTCTTTTTCCACGTGTTCACATTGTAACCATTTATGTTACCCTACAGGTTAAACAACAGTGGAACATTTTTTTCTTGGCAAAGAAACAAGAAACACTCAGGAAGCATCTGCATTTATAAGTAATTTCAGATTGATAGAAATGTTGGAAATATTTCTATTAGTAAAGACTTTACCTGAGAACGTTTTAAATTTACATTTGCAATTTTTTTAAATATTTTTTTTTTTTACCTTTTCTCTCTCTTCTGCATCATAATTATCAGGAAAGCTTGGTTTATTCTGATTTTCTTCATTGATTTCTCTTTCCTCCAAATAAAACTGCCATTTGGCTTCAAAGTAAAACCAGTGCTCCTGATATTCTGAAGATAAAAACAAATTAATAAAGTAATAGTCCACCTTGACCAGACTCTCAGGTGCACTTAACGTGTAAAGAAAGAACAGACCAGTGTCGATCTGGTTATTTTTACAGAGATGTAACTTTAACAGTTTACACAATACAAGTAGTATATATTTTTTTAAAAGATCAAAACTGCGTATTTGGTTTATTACACCAGTACTAACAGGTTGGAAACATGAAAAAGAAAAAAAGGAGGGGAGGCCATTAAAAACTAAGAACTAGCGTTACCATAATCATTTCCTATAACTTGAAAATAAATAGCATAATACAAGAATAAGAATGTTTAGTGAAAAAAGAGTAAACTAATGATTAGAACAATGGGTATGTCAAATTTTTGTCCCTATATTATGGATAAAGAAGGTGTAAAAAGGCTTAGTTGTTTTGGTTTTGCCTTTAAATCATACTTTTCTTTCCCATTTACTTTAGAAATATGAGGAACTTCAAGTCTTACCTTTCCTGGTTTTACCAGAGGACTTAATGGCTATCACAGAAAAGTGGACTAAAGACCTTTTTCCCCCATTGTTTGAGTTAAACAAGTTTTGAGAATACCAATTAGAAAGCATTAAGTTAAAGCATCCTAAATATGATTCATATCCTATCTTTATTCCTCAGGTTTTACAGTTATGATTTCTCATGAGTCTACTAACTTTTCCTCTAAGAAATAACTAAGTAGAGAAAACCAGAATTTTCCACAGTTGTATATTGAATTCTATAGAGGAAGAAAAACTTTTAGGCTTTCTTTATATATACCCAACACTTTTTCCGTTTTCATGTCACTTTAAGCACCATGAGTCCCTAATCATATAAACTTGCGCATGCTTACTTTAACAAGTCCCCTTAAATTAACCTTTATACAAATGTTTAAGTCCAAACCAATTCAATAAAGCAATTAAAGGTACCTAGAACTAAGGTTGCTTGGATCATCAATCCCAATCCCTTGCAATTGAGGGCAACTATAAAACAGATGTTAAATCCCAAAGAGTCTAGGAAAACATCCAGCCAGCCCCTCTCACTCACTAGAAACTGCAAAGCAGGCTTCCAACATCCAATAACATATAAGCACCAAGTTCAATGGCATAGGAACTTGGACTGGAATGGTTCTTATGGGCCATCAACTCTAGTTCCCTGAATTTGCAGGCAATCATTTACTGAAGAACCCCCAGAATCACCACTTCAAACCACTACACAATTACAAACTAGGATCTTGACTACATACTCCTCCACAAGGCCTCCAAAAGTAAAAGTGTGCCATAGAAAGAGAGACCAAGAGCCACTAATGCCTTTCTGACAAGAGGCAAATCTTGACAGGGTTAGATATTTACAGAGCAGCAAGAGGGACATGATAATTTGAACATGGGCAATTCAGTAGTAGAGATCTTGTTCAAGCGTGTGGAGCAGCACTACTGCTCCAAATTAAGTACGCACAAAGTCTGACGTCTACTTTAATGACTTCCCTATCAATGGCTCAGAGCAAGATAGAAAACAAGGGATCATGCATGTGTAACAGTTACTTTTCTAAATGAAGCAATTTGATTTTCTATTCTCTTGCAGAGTTCCTCATAATGAATTAATATCCTTAAAATGCTTCACCTTTTAAAGAATAACAGTGGTTTATATATGCTGTTATCTGGTACATGGTGGTTGCTTCCCAAGCTCACATAACCCAGCAGAGAGAACAGGAACACAGTTGGACCAGAGTCTACTGCAGTCCTTATACTGAAGTAGCTTCCAGATTGGTGGGGCAGGAAAGATTTGATTTCCCCATAATGTTTTCTTGCCTGCTACTAGAGGGAAAAAAAATTGAACAACAACTGTTCAGCTACTCCAGGCCCTTAGCCAAGACCTAGAGAATCCAATTGGCATTTGCTGACTTTGTTGGTCCTTAAAAACATGGCTAGTATCTTGCTTAGCATACCCTAAGTTACTTTTATTGTGGTGTAGAAAGCCGAAATAGCGTCTTAATGAGATATTCATTTATGAAAAAACAAGGTGAAAAATGCATTCGTAGCCCGAAAGCTTGCTTAATAATTGTTTTCCAACTATTTAAGTTGGTCTAATAAAAGATATCAGATTCACCCAAAGAACCTTGTCTTCCTAGCCATAAAGCTCAAATGAATATTTTAACAAAAAGTACATCAGAGAAAAGCAGTGCTGGCTTAAATAAACACACAACTTATTAAATGATCTGATGATTTTAAAACTCAAAAAGCCTGGTATTTTTAAAGATGTTTTCTTGCTTTTCTGTTGCGCTTATAACCATACCATCCTAATGTCTCAACTCAAAAGCATTAATGAACCCTGTAGGAGCCCTGTAAGTTAGAGAAATACTATTAACTTCATTTTACAGATGGAAAAACTCAGGGTTTAAAGTGACTGCCCAGTCATGGGGGAGATCTGTGGCCAAGGCAGAAATTAAACCCAGACTATCCAAGCAGCTTTCCCCTCTGGGTGCCATTCCTTGACCCTTACTTGGGCTGAATACTTAACGACACTACACAAGTATCCATACAGAGAACAGTGGGACTACAAAGAGAAGTAATTGCAATTTGATACTGGGCAAGGGCTATTGACTTGGACGTTGCAACTAAATGTCTCTCATTGTCTTTGAGATTGAACCAAAAAAAGATTCTAAGAATTGGCTTTCCTAAAATGGAGGACTCTATTCAGTAGAAATTCTCCACAGCACATCTCACCAGCCAAGGGGTCTTGACCCTGATACAGAAAATTTTTTACTTGCTTCCAAAATAGCACTAGGTTCCACAATGCCAAAGTTACATAGTGCATGCTTCAGGAGCCCCACATATCTCTATGCAGTAGTGGGTTCACCCTGGATAGAGTGACAGGACCCTTCTGTAAAGGCAAGTCAAAGAGAAACCTATATATGCTAATCCCGCACCTGCTGTCCCTAGGACTAGCTTAAAGAATAATAATAACCTCCAAACAGAACAGGTTCCACTAAAACAATTCTGTGCATTTCAGAAAGCCTTCCCATTTGTTCTGTCATGTTCAAAGGAACAACTTGATAACTTAGATAAACCTTTTGTTTTTTTAATGTTCCAAAAAAGGTTTTAGATGGAGTCTCATCATTCTTGATAACCATCCCCTCATAGCTCTTTAGAAAAGATAGAAAACCTCTTTGCTTCACTTCTGGAGATGCATCCAAGTTATGCCAATTTGTTCACATTGGAACAGGACTGATATAAATACAATGATCCTAGGCAAACAGTCAGTAGGCAGCTATTAAGCACAAAGGTATTATATACTCAGGTCAAGTAAAATAATCTTTTTCAGGAGTCCTATTTCATTCAACTGCTTTATACAGCAGTATAACTAGGATGCCTCCCAAATATGTGAACAGAATAGCAAAAACCCAGATTTTAATATCCAGACAAAGAGTGAATTAATTGTTTTTCTAATGCATGCATCTTCAGCTGGGTTAGGGACTTCCACTGGAAAAATTAGGAATGTCAATGATTTTCTTATGAAAAAAATCATAGTGATCATGCAAGTTTGTTTGATTTGATGGGGGGCAGCTGAAACAGCTTAAACTGCAGCACACATTTTACAACTGAAATGCTTGCAAATATATTTCCTATTTTGTAATGAACTCTATACAGCTTATGGTTATTGTTATACTTTTACTTTTTTTATATTGCCACCAGTGTGGCAGGCAACTTCCCAAATATATGAAAATAAGGTTCTGTCCGAACAGCTTACAGGATAAACGGATGAGGTGGGAAGACAACATGCAGACACAGGACAGTCTGTGAAGAAATAAAAGCAGGACGCTGAGTAGTGAAATTTACTGGGTATTGTTATAGTTGATTTTTAAAAAAAATTTAGTTACCTGCCATGTGTCGAATGGTCTTTTTGCAGTATTCTTCTGCCATTGGAACCACCTTCATCATGTCTCTTCCCCACTTTACTAATGGTTTTCCTTGAATTGCATACGATATGAATAGGGCTGTACACAGAGACCCTAAAAAGCCTAGAGTGAATAAATTAGCATTAATAATTACCACCTGTATTTCTACCATGGTATTAATGAAGACATCCTTGGCCTATCCCCAGTGAAAATATTACTAGGTGTGTCATAGCTCTAGTATTGTTTAACAAATATATATTACCTAATCTGTCTATTTACAGGCTGGCACTTGGCACAGTCAGACTTTTGGCTGCAGCATGGTGCTTACTGGGTAATGACTTATTTCACATGAGGGAGCTCCTGTTCTCCTTGGTATAATATGACAGAAATTTACGTAATTATGTGAATTATGTAAATAAACATGATGGCTTTGTATGATACTGAAAATCTTTTCATTTAAGTCGCATTAAATAACTGGCCTGGACAAAGCAGTTCAATTACACTTTAAATGGCAAAGATTTCTCAGGGTGATAGATTTTATTGGACCAACTGCATAGCTGGAGTAGAGTTAGATAAACTTTAACTGGCTTCATGCAACTTGCAGATTAGAGATATTAGATGTAACATTGTTTCTAGCGAAGTCTATTCTACATTGCCGTTATGCATGCTTTATTTTACTTGACTGCTGACAGACATTCAGCTTAATGGGATCCGATTCATGATTAGCCACATGTTCAATTTAAAGCATGATACTAAGGAGCCACAAAATTGTTGCATATAATATGTGGAATACATTTGTGGCTTGTTTACTGTATTGTCATGCTTTAAATTGACTTGAACATTTGGCTTCATTGCTATTTAAGGCAGAATCACCCTGTTAATTGCATCTTAAATGTAACGTGTCAGGAGCCTTCGGGTTTTATTTGCCTTAAAGAGATAACTGTGCAAGTAAAGTTTGTTGCATGGTTGCATCTAACTCTTAGCATTTGACTATGGTCAAGAATTTATTTTTCTTTCAAGTGAAACTCATAGTTTGGTTGAGTCAGAGCTTTATTTGCTTGTTTTTTTTATACCTGCTTGATATTTTTGGGGTGGTTTTTAAATACAGGAAAAGTATTGAGTACAAAATTCACTATAAGGCTAGGAAACCAGTTCAGTCATTTTACACAACTGCTTAACTTCAAGGATGCAAATCAATGTCACTACTCACAGTCTAAGCCAAGCATTGCTCTTAAAGGTGCAGACAGAAATTACATTTGCTGTGCGATTGGCCCCTTGAAAGTGTTCTGCAGCTGTGCCTTAACAGAAGAGCACGTCTGCAGAGCACTCTGACTGCAGGACAAATTAACCCTCATTGTATGAAGATTCAAATGAAGGCACTTCAAAGCAAAGTGCCTTTATTAACTTGTGTCTGCTCCAGCAGCTGGGCTGCTGCAGCTCAGCCCTGCCCCCAGTGCTGGCTCAGGATGGGAGAGGGGGGAGAAGGGAGCTCAGGATGGTATTTTCCCAGTCTGCTGTTGGAGTGCAGGCAAGTGGATGGGAGCCTCCTGAGGCTCCCCTCATATCCCTTCTCCTCCCCAACCCTTCCCCACCATCCTAAGAAGGGGGTGTGGGGGAAAGAGGGCTCTGGGAAGAGGCTGCCAACACGCAGCCTCTCACTGTATCAACTCCATATTGGAGCTTGAACCCTCACCCTTCCAACCCAACAGATGTTATCTGGGAGGATCAGTCTAATTCATCGCTTTTTCTGTGAAGCATTATAAGTTAGACCGGGGAGCTGCACTTCTGTCTGTGCCTTAAGTGACTTGTTGGATCAGGGCTTTAATACTTTGTTTATCAACAATTTTTTTGCCGTTCATTATTTTTGAAGCATCTCAGCTCCCTAACTATGACATGACTATGTTCTTTCCTTGAGCTGTCAGGGAGAGGCAATGTATAATAAAAAGGATGGCACTTTTTGCTGGGGGGGATTTGTTTTTTTTCAAGGATATATTTAACTTGAAACACCAAAACATAGCAGTGCAAAATGTAATAAGTTGCCCCAAATTAGGGCAATGCAATTTGTAAAGGTATCTCTGAATTTGTCATGTTAAATATTTTGACAGCATTACTATATTTTTAATACAATGAATTCATAGAAATTATTAATGCAATAAGCAACATTGCTGATAGAGTAATTCTGATTAAAGAATCAGAGGTAGAAAGCAAAATCATTTTAGGAAGTTTAAACTGCTCTATGTTGAAGTTCACTGTGGTTTTATTTATTGCTGTTAAATATCACTAACCATATTACTTAAATCTAAGATGACCCCCCTGCCCCCAATAAGCATGGGGCGGGGGGGGAAGCCTCTTGTCTTAAATTCACATACAAAGTGGGGGAGGAGCAGGAGGCAAGCAGCTGCTGATGCTCTGTCTCTAGCCCTGAGCCCAGGTTGGGGTTGCTTGCCCTCTGCAGCTTCTTCCCCCTCCTCTCCCCACTTCCCCTGCCTTACTGTCAGGTGTACCTTGGCTCTGGCTCAGGCTGGATTCTCTCTTGGGCATGGAGCACATTAAAATTGTCCCCTGCCCAGCCAATCAGCAGTACCAATGCTGCTGCACAGCCCAGCAAAGGCTGAGCTTTCATGTGCTGTACTCCAGGGAGGGAAGAGAGCCCAAAGCATCGTCTAACAGTAAGGGAGGGTAAGGGAAGATCAGAGACTGGGTGAAGTGGTGGGGAGGGGAGGGAGGGGAGGGGTGGGGAGAGGGAAAGAAGCAGATATTGTGGGGAGCTGGGGGTGGAGACTGGAGGTGGGAAGGGGGCAGGAAGTCTACAGGGGGAAGAAGTGAGGGAGCAGAGGGCAAAGGGGCCACCCCCAACAACTGCTTTGCCTGCTGTAACAGTGTGGGGCAGATGCGAGTTCTAGACAACCCTCCAAAAAACTTAGATTCTATACCTGGAAAATTATAATTTACAAGAATTATATTTTAATTTTATCTTATATTTATAACTTATAAGAAATCTATATTTTTTCCATATATAGAATCTATTTATTGGGGGGGGTTCTTATATTCAGGGTCAGCTCAGGGTCAAGTAAATATGGTAAGTACTATCAGTAGCACAGAGATGTCAAAACAGAATGGCTGATCTTTCAGAATGCTACTTTTTTTTTGGTTTAGCTAGGTCTGATTTCTTCAAGCCACACAGATTTGGAAGTATCCTTACAACCAATTTGTTTCCCTTCCTAACCATATGAAAATGATCACTGTGGCAAGAATAATCAAAATAAAGGCATGATTACCTCCAAAACAGTGAAATCTGGATAAATCCAAATGTTTTAAATTTGGATAAAGGTTAAATTTGGATTAGGTTAAATTTGATCGTGAAAGTAACAAGCAAATTGTTTAAGCATTTCAAGTGGTTTTCTAGCCATTCTATAGCTAGAGATTTCATGGATGTATATCTAACATACACCTCACTGCAGGCAAGTATCAAACCAGGATCCTGGAGTCTGCAAATTCAGCAGATTTTGACAAGGCAGTTATTGGGAGCTGTGCTAGTCTTCTCTAAACTAAAAATCAGTCTTATACATTCCAGACAAATAAACTTCATTCCAATGGACGTTACCTGTAGGATGGTTATGAGTCATTCGGCCACATTCAATGCTCACTTCAATAAGACTTTCTAGCCTCTCAGGCTTCCAGTATCTCATACCTAAACACATGGCTTTTGTAGCTGCTCCAAATCCAGAACCTACATTAAAAACATAATTATAGCCTTTTTAAAAAGGAACTAATAGTATACAAATATAATGAATGTCATATGAAACTAGCATATTACAGTAATTCAAATAACTTTTAAGGGACTGAAAGCTATCATTCAAAACATACTTCAGGCCTAACAGCCATGCACATGGATTTTTGCCTCCACATAGAACACTTCAGTGCAGTATTTTATTCAACAGGATTTCAAGGCAGTTCACAAAATTTTTATACGGTATTACCTTAGAAAATACCCTATATTAAAAAAATTAAGGCTACAAAGTCCAGCACTCGGGAAATGCCTGAATGCAAGCGATCTGAATAAACTTAATTCAATCCCATTGTATGCAGGATCATATAGTCTTTAATTACATGATAACACCCTAGTTTCTCTCTAGGATGCCTGCCTTATTTAGTGCATAAGCTAGGTTAGTGATCCTCTCAACACCCTGGAGTGCCTTGAGATCCTTTAAAAGGTGACAGGGGGCCCATAGTCAAAAAAAAAAAAAAAAAGTGAAAACTAAGAGCTAGCATTAAAGGAATATGGGTTGGATTAATGGGCAATAAGGTGGATAAGAACTGGCTGGATCATTGGGCTCAAAGGGTAGTAATCAATGACTCTATGTCTAGTTGGCACCTGGTCGCAAGTGGTCCTGGGTCTGGTTTTGTTCAATATCTTGATCAACGACAAGGAAGATGGGATGGAATGCACCCTCAGCATCCCCTAATCATTTTCATTGCCCTCCACTGGACAATTAGGTTCAATAAGGAGAAGTGCAAAGTCCTGCACTTAGGATGAATCAATCCCATACAGTGGTACAGAGGGAGAACTGACTGAATAAGCAGCAGCTCTGCAGAAAAGAACCTGGGGGTTACAGTACACAATAAGCAGAATATGAGCCAACAATGTGCCCTTGTTTCAAAAGAAAGCTAACAGCATATTGGGCTGTATTAGTAGAAGCATTGCCAATAGATCAAGGGAGGTGATTATGCCCCTCTATTTGCACTGGTGAGGCCACATTTGGAGTACTGTGTCCAGTTTTGGGCCCCTTACTATGGAAAGGATGTAGACAAATTGGAGAGAGCATAGTGGAGGGCAACAAAAATGGATTGGGGGCTGGAGCACATGACTTGTGAGGAGAAGCTGAGGACGCTGGGCTTATTCTGTCTGGTGAAGAGGACTGAGAGGAAGATTTAATAGCAGCCCTCATCAACCTGGTTCCAAAGAGGATGGAGCTACAATATTCTCACTACAATACCGGTGTACTACACAAATATTAATCAATTGATTTCCACCACACACTGTGATTTGTGATATCATCTCTATTTTACCACTGGTAAAGTGAAGCCCAGGAAAAAAAATTATTTCTGATCACCCAGGCAGAGCTGACTAGGACCCGATTTTTTTTTTTTTTAAATTGGCATTTTTTCAGGGATATAGGTTGTACCCGTGTTGATCTAAAAAGCAGAAGCAGATAAAAACTCTTGGAGTAGAAGGAATACCTTTTATTAGACCAACTAAACGGTAGCAAAAAATGTCTTTCTTTGCAAGCTTTCAGACCCAAACACCTTTCATTAAGCAGAGGAGAATTCAAAAATTGTAACAGCTCTCTATCAGGTGTTTTCTGAACTGCCTTGGTATCCTGTTGAATGAAATGTGTTATAAAAATGTAAGCTAAATTGAGATTCTCTTTTAAGCAACTTGAAAGCTGCCATTAAAATGACTTCTTAACTTGTCTACTATTGATATGTCCAGTATTGGCATCAGAAAAAAGCAAAGCAACTCAAATGCCGGTCTCTACTAGGTAGAGAACTTTTACAGTCTTTGAATTCTTCTCTGCCTGACAAAGGGTGTTTGGGCCAAAAAGCTTGCAAAGAAAGAATTATTTTTATACTGTGTAGTTGGCCTACCCCAGGAGTTTTGTCTGCCTTGGCATTTTTTCAGTATTTTCTATGCTCAGTCTAAACTCCTCAATCTTCAACTGCATTTGTAAGCCTTCAGTCCTTCTCTTCTGGTTGAGCACCCAGAATATGAGGGATGTGCAATTTTTACACAACTGCGAACATTTTGGCTTGAAATGACTTGTTCAGACTCACTGGCTGAGGTACCTCCAAAGAGCCAAATTTCAGTTTAGCACCGTATTCTTTTCTTTGTAGTAGGTTTTCATGACAACTAGAGCATGTGAGAGGTTCAATGCAATTTAAAACACCTTGTAAAAGTGACCTTTCAACTTTCTGCACACAAAGAAGTGAAAGAATACATCTTTCCCCATGCATAGTCCTTCCTTGCCATTGTGCAAGAGACCCACATCCCTAGGACCTTCCTTGAGCACCAGACTTTTGTCTGATGCTTCTATGCAAGGGAAAGATCCAGAGGAGGTTTAGTGGTACAGATGTATGCCCCTTTCAGTTGATGATGCTGCCGGAGTTTTTTTAAGTCCCCCAAATCAGGTGAGAATCCCCCTGGTCCCTCTCTGTGCTTAGTGGCACCTCCCCTCCTATAATTCCTTTCCCCCACTCACCCTGTCTCCAGTTGCCCTGGGGGCAAGGGTAGGGGTGCAGGGAGGTCCCAGAGCCACTCCTGCTTGCCTCAGCCAGGTGCTGTGGAGATCCAGGCTCAGCTGGAAACAGAAGCAGCTGTGGCAGGTCCCTAAGGTATTTCTTGCCAGCCTAAGAAAAGGTGCAGGGGAAGGGAACCTGCCCAATGCCACAGCTGCTGTCTGGCTGAACCTGGCTCCACATGCAGCTCAGCTGAAGCAGGGCAGGAAAATCTCTAGGGCTGCTTTAGGATTAGGAGAGAACCTAATGAGGCAGGACAGCACGCACATACTACCACCCTCCCCAGTCTGGCTGTGCAGCAGGTGCATGGGGCAACTTTACCGGGCTGTGGCAGTGATAGCACCTGGTTGAGAACCAGCAAGGTAAGTTGAGCACGACAGTGGTTCTCAAGTAGGGATGCTGCCACATAAAAAACAAACAAACAAACATGGCAGAGGGGGTCTGTAAAGATTGAGAACCACTGCCTTAAAGCTCATTCCCTTGTGTCCGTCTTGCCCTGCCCAACCCAGTTCATGAGCCTACTGCCTTGCAGGCTGGGTTTAGTCCCTTAGGAGCTCCTCAGCCAGTCCTTAAAATACAAGATGCAATCCTCACACTAAACAAACTAGCAAACAAAAGCCTTTGACCCTTCTCTGGGCAAGAAAGGGGGGGCGGGGGGCTTTGGCTCTGCCTCAGGACAGCAGCATTGCTTCTTCCTGGTAGCAAACCTATCTGGGTTCTAGTTCACCTCCTGCCTGCAAAGTCTGTTCACTCCCCTAGTTTGCTCCTCTATGCTCTCTCCTTTGGGGTTTTAAACTCCTAGAGGCTTATCCCATAGGTAATAAAGGGTACTCCTTTATTATCTTCTACACACTCACAGCTGGCCTTCTGCATTAGGGCTGCCTGCCCCTCTTACAGTGCCAGGTCATCATATACATTTTGCTATCATTGCCTTTTCAACTGACCCCCTCTGCTTCCAACCCTGTCTGCAGATAACTTATGCTGTTTTCTTATTTTCTTTCATGCTGTGTAGACACCTGAAAGGACAGTACTAGGACCATGGATAACCACTTGGTTACTTCTGTTCCTCAGTGACACCAATGCCTCCTGCAGCTGGTGGAGAGCAGTTTCAAGAAAAGACCATCTGTGGCCCTGAGGCATGGCCTGGAGCATGCTCAGAGAGGACAATCTTTGGGCCATGTTGGTACCCAAGACTCTCCACTTGAGTGGATTTTCAAAGACCCAAAAGCCACATTACTGACTCCAAAAAGGCACTGGAGCTTCTTGTTTACACTGTTAAGAGTTTAAGAACATCTTTTAAGAACATTTTTCCTATAACATTTTTCCATCTCAGAGACCACTGAACTATTTTATTGACACTTTGACAAAAATTAAAAAATGAGTCTAACACAAAGCATGGAAAAGCTCAGTCTAAACTGCTAAAGGTCTGGCAAATTATAAGTGGCAGAAAATGGGGTTCTAAAACAGAAATTGTCAGGTGCCCTTAACTACAGGCATAACTAATAATTCTGCCTGTAACATGGGAATCATTTTATCCTGTGATGTAGTTCTGCTACAACTGGAATGGAACACAGCAGCTGTTTGACAGCACACAGCAACAATACACAAATACTTAACATACAAAATGACTTACAACAATTGTATCCAAACGAATCTGAGCAGGAAAAAAGAAGTTAGATAGCCAGTATGTAGTTACGCACATTGGAATTTGGCCAGACCCTAAAGACTAGCACATGAGTGCTGTTGCTAGAGGGACATTCATCTTCTCAGGGCCATACAAGGCAGGCCCTCACCTGAGTCCAGCATCCCAGTCAATTTCCACAGTGCACACAGTGCCCATCGAAGGGTCTTTGCCCACACTGCCCAACCCACAGGTATGCGGGCTGAAGTGAGATGTACCAAGTGAATGGAATAGAGTTGCTAAAATTCTTTTTGCTCTCTCCAAGCAGCTGCTGCAAGAAGCAGAGGGTGAGGGAGGGTTCCTGTTCTGTCAAAGAGGACCGAGTGCCATAAATAATCATGGCATTGCACTGCAGTGTATTTGTCATGATATTGCAACAATGTGTGATACCATTGAGTGGCACTAATGGTATCACACATTGATACCATTAAGTGGCACTAATTGGTATCACACATTGATATGAATGACTGTGATAGCATCTCATCACCTCAGGGCAACATCTTTGTAGTATACCACAATTGTGTGTCTCCTTGTGAATACTTCATTTGATAAGAAGTAGGATTTTTTTGGTCATATCTTTTATTGGACCAGTTATATAGTTGAGAGAAGTTTTAGACAAATTTTTTGTATTACTTGAAAGCTTGTCTAACATCTCTTCCAAATGCATACCTAATCTAAGAAGTAATATTGCCAAAATAAATCCTGCTTCTTCCATATTCCCTGGATCATAACTACAGCAATAATACAATAATACTACCAAAATATCATTTGATAAATTAACTCTCCAGTTCATTAAGGATAAACAAAGTATGTATGCATGGGCATCTGCATGTGTGCTGAGAGTTTATTTAACCTTAAGGAACTAGAGTCACTTTATCATTAAATGAAACAGTCACAGATAGAGAGCCATAATAGATCCTAGAGGGTCTCTTGATAGAGGATAGCAGGATTATCAGTGAAGAATAAATTATGCTATGGAATCTTTTGCTCTAACCACCTGAAGGAAAATATAATAAAGTTATAATATTCATATTTTTCTTCTGCAACAGAGTTACTTTGCTAGCTAACCTTTTCCCTTAGATGTTAATCTCATTTGCAAATGCAACATTTTGTTTTTCTAGACAGTATCGCATTTAGAACTTCAAAAAACTATTGAAACTTAAATGAAACATGGCAGAAAATATTCTGTAAAACAAACATGCAAATCAAGGACAAAAATCTGGACCAAGAGGCATAATTTCAAGTATAATGTTTCTTTAAATAGATGTTAAATGGGGCAGGCTGGATTTACAAAAGGACAGCGTGCCTTACAAAGGAATTCCTGGCAAATCACTTGCCACCTTCAGGCAAATATGGAATTGTTGCAAAGCCATCCTCTTTGTTTGTTGCAGGAAAAAGGAATGACCCTTTCCCTGCATTTCTAACTCTACAAAAACTGTTATTGACAAACACAGATGACCCAAAAATACTGTACCCTTTTCATTAAACGGTGTGTGCCAAGCCAGGAGATAGTTATCCGGCTTTAACTGTGAGCAGCTTTCAATGGTGGCAGGGTCTGACCGTCTCCCTGGGAGTTTGTCAGTAGAATCAACATAGCGTTTTACCAGTTCACGATATAGGTCTTCTAAACACCAGTAATCTGTTTAGAACAAAGCATTAAGAGACTATTAATAAGTAAGCAAAAGAAAAGACAAAATGGCATGGGGGGGGAATGAGATGGGATGGGAAGGACGACACAGGGCACCGGGCACCAGACTTTTTAAAATTCTCATTCAGGTGAATATACAAACACTTTTATAGAAGCCCTGAAAACAATTGCAGAGCAGGCATACTGAGTCTCTCTCTGAACTAAAATACAAAACAAAGCAGCAGAACCAGGGTACATACACTATAGGGCTGCGTGGCTGAATTTCCTAATCCTAGCCAACAAACTAAAACCTTGACATGCAGTGGGACACAGAATTTTGGAGCTGTGCTCCCCCCACTGTCAATGGTTAAACTACCCAGGAGTCACCTGAGGCTCATGAGCTGTGGTATGGCTGCCTTGGCTATAGAGGGGGACAATTGCTTGCTTGTTTTTTTTCCCCCCCTCTTATTCCCTTCATTTGAAAAATAAAGGAGTCCCCACTTTTAGCAACTGTTGTTATGAGATCCACTTAGGCCCTAATTGGGCTGGGTACACAAACACAAGTAGCATCTTTGGTTGCCTAAACACATGCTTGCTCGCATCCTAATTAGAGTGCATTGGAGCAGACTCGATTAATTGAATCTTCTCCACGTTCTAATTAGGATGCTGTGGTGTCGCCTCATTGTCACGTGTATTAAGCCAAATGGAGTTTAGATAAAGCATCCTGTGGCCATTTTTAAACATGCAGAGGTTTAATACACATGATGGTGAGCCATTTTAATTAGAGTGGCTGCCCAGGAATTGGTCTAGTTAAAGCACCCACCTCATTCCCCTCCCCTCCCTCTCCCCCAAGCGCTATATAGGCAGCCTTTGACTTTAACAGGACTATTGTGTGCTCAAAGTGAGCTGCAAGGTGTAATGAGCTGCTAAAATGGGATTTTGGGGGGGGCGATATCTTTTACTGGATCAACTGCATGGCTGATATAAAGTTAGACAAGCTTTCGAATGCAAGGCATTCCTTATCAGATCATTGCTTTATTGCTAAGCTGCAGCCTTAAGTTTATTTGCCAACAATGCTCTAGTTTAAGACTGTATTTCCCTGTTTGAAGAATTACTGATTTCTAACCTCAAAGATAATTTTTTTAAATATATTTTTATTATAGTTTTTATTTAGAATGGTAGGTTATTTGGTATGGGCCCTGGGACTTTGTTTCTCCAGGACCCTGATCTTCTGTTCAAAATTTAAGAGATTTATTAATTATCACAATAAATCTTTACTGGCTTTGCAATTTTATCAGCAATTCATTTTCTGAAACAGAGGTTAACTACATTTTCAGGTTAGCTCTTTCTGTTAAAACTCAAGGTATTTCCTGGGGATGCAGTTCTACTATCCTGTTCTACTATCCTTACCATATTGAATAATACACTATTTCTTCAGTACTACAGTAATACAGTATTTCTTCAGGATTATGTATAAAAAAAAAAAAAATAGTATCTAACATGAGTTAAGAGTCTCAGAATCTCCCTTTAGTTCCAACTCAGCTTCCACTGGCTTCTATTTGATTTTTTTTTAAATTAATCTATTTATTTTACTTATTAAGGACTAAATAAAGATTTTAGGATTTGTCTGATTATGTTTGAAATATACTAAGGAACAAAGAGAAAAAAAAATTACATGCCTCAAGCATTCCCAAGGGAAAATTCCTTTAATAGCCTCTTTATAGCAGTCAGTGGATATTTCTTGAGACTAATAGAAGAGACTCAATTTAAGACACATTATGGAGGCTCATAACCCAGAGCCATTCCTTTTTTATATTGTAATGTGCAAAAAAAAGGGGAGGAGACACATTATTTCCTATTTCCATACGCAATATATAAATTATACCACTTACCAAACACAGACTTCCAAAGAAACATGACTTTCTACAAACCATCCCACCCACCAAAATCATTTCAGTCATAGGTGTCAGTCAGATGCCAGTTCATCTGTGAAAACCAGATTCAGTAATACAGAAGGTAGATAGAAATGTTCCTTGTAGATTATGAGTCATACATATCCCCTTCCAGAACATTTTAGGACTGTTTGAGCAGCATAACACCATAATTACTCCAGCTATAGACATACAGAGAGGAAAATTTCAATTAGGTGCGTTTGCAGTCAAGTGCAGTAGGAACAAAACTATTTTATTTTTTCAGGACTGAAGTCTGATTATTTAAATTCTTCTTTCAAATCAGAAAGGAAAAGGCTTTCCTAGTTTTAGTGATGGCTTTACAGTGTCTCCTACTGTTGGCAGGAACTAGTAATATGGGTAGGTATCTTGATCCTCCTTTAATGCAATAAAACACAACAGAAAAAGCTCCTAGGATTTCTTTACTCTTTGTTAGTGGATCAGGGTCTAAATCAGACCCACAACTTCCACCAAAGAAGCAACAAACTTGAGCAAGAAATGCAATGCTGGCCATTTCATACTGTGCTCCTCCTTTCAACCTCAGTTTTAACTTTGCAATTTGCTGTAAGCAACATCAGAAAGGTCATGCAGGCAATGCATTGTCTGAAATTCATGGGCTGGGGATACCTGGCATAGAGCAGCACAGTCAAGCCCATTTGCAGCCCTAGGATATTACCATAAGTGCTTTATTATAAAACATACACACACTCAAATGGTGAAAGGAAGGAAGAACAATTAAAATGTTTTTGCCATAAAGATTTGTTGCATTTTCTGTTATTAACACAGCTGGGGGGACATTGAGGATTTTAGTTTTATTTCTTGATCAAAGTTTCACTTTTATGGGGCCAAGGCATCTTCCAAATTTTTGACACAGTACTAAGAATCTTGCACTTCTACCTACATATAGCCTGAAACTCCTCCTATGCAATGAGTTCACCACAGTGCTGCTCTTTAATCTTTGAGACCCTCTCTACACATGGCAGGTAAGGGTGTAATGGGATCTAATTCATCCCCTGCTACACATGTAAATTAAAGCTCAATAGCAACCAGCTATGAGGTTAGGACACATTGTTGAGGTCTAATTTTACAGCTGGTTGGAGCTTTTTATAAGGTGATAGCTACTTTGCAGTGTAGCTGGTCTCAAGGTAATTTGTGCAATTAACTCGGTAACTTTGTGATACCTGTAATGTGTAGAGGGGGCCTGAGAAACTAGTCTACGAGTAGCACATTCATATAAAAGATAGGTTAGAAGCATAAACTTTAGTTAACTCAGCCCAAGAGATCCTATTTTACATACTCTAGCGTTACTATTGCATTGACGTCAACAGTTTGAAGTAAAAATCAGGCCCAATTTCCCATTTCCTTTAAACTTTTTGGTGCTAAAGACATGCATAGCAGGGATTTTGTGTTTCTTCAAGTAGCAAGACAAGGTGCACTTGTCACAGTTGCTTTCTTACTAAAACTATGGCTATAAACTGAAAAATTTTCATTAAAAATTCTTTCTTCCCACTTTGTAATTTCTTCAACTAGTCCAAATCATGCATTTTGCTGTGGTAGTTTCACCAGTGAGAACAAAAGTGCAGGAGAGTTGCTGTTGTGATTTATAGGGAGGGTTTTTTTTATTATAACACACCAGCTGTGCTTGTTGTATTTAAAAAATATAATTTACTAATAGCATAACTGATACAACAAGACTTGTTAGATGTAGGAGATACCATTTGTACTTTATAGAGTTCAAGAAGCAGAAAACATGATGTGCATTTAATCATGGACTATATTCAGAAATATGTTAGTCATCTTTCCTCTTGATATTGCCCTTATCTTTAGTGCATTAGCTATCCTTCAAACCATTGGTTAGTCAGCAGCCAAGCATGAAGTATTCAACATGCTCTTCAACTGATCTCTGGAAACTAAATTTAGAACAGTTTAGCAGCAGACAGATAAAACAGTGAAATAAGAGCATGTGAGATTTCATTGATTTGGATGATTCTTACATACAATTCAGCACATTTGCAAACTTCTGATGTCAGTTACAGAATAGCACTTGGTGTTAGTTTTTTTTCTTAAGGCTCATTTGTATAGATAAAGAAAACTTAAATTTTGAAGAAAAAGGTGTTGTTAAAACAAAAAAAAAAGCTGTGCTTATTGACATGCTTTTTGTGAAAAGGGCTTGCTGATCTCAAAAGTCTTGACTCAATTGGCAAGTGTGGACATAGAAACCATGGCCAGCTACAGGTAGCTGCTATTGCCTTGAGAAAACACAGGTCAAAACTTTTGCGATTTTAGAGAAAGTACAAATTTAAAAATAGTGACTGTTTTGATATTTTAGCTAAAACTACAGTAAGTTTTAAAATGTCTTTCTGTAGACCAGACGGAGAAGCTCTTTGCATAAGGGAAGACTTTCCATTTCTGTCTTTCCAGGTGCTATACCTAGTCTCAGATTCGAAGAGACAACATTTCTAACAGGCTGCGTGACATCACAGTATTCTGTATAACATAACGTACAGAAACTATACGAGTAAGTGTTCTGTGTATATTATTTTCAGCACAAGAAGTTTAAAGCTTTTCAAATCAGTTTAATTTTTGTGGACTGTATTGTTCTTGGAAGCGTGTGGTGCAGAGAATCTCTTTAACAAGCTTTTTCTTTGATAGATACAAATTGTGCTAATCTAAATTTTAATCAGTTTTATATATTAAAAAAAAAACTATGGGGAGACACTCTAAGCCTAAGAAATCGCACTTCTGTTTTCTGTGGCTGAATAAATAATGCTCCCAGCAGCAGGCTTATACTCATCATCATTCAGTACAGCAGTACTGGTAGACTCTTAATAGTTTCTTGCAAGCTCATTACACCCACATTATTTAAGGTTTATTGTAAGTGTGTTAGCAGCTCCACAGGTTTATTCCTTCCCATCTGGGTTCACTAGTCAGGTCTTACTCACCTGTGATGAGAGCCTCTGCAGTAGCCATGTGCATCAAGGTATTGTCACTTACTGGCCATTTGTCTGAAGACAGCACCAGATTCTCAAGCCCTCCAATTTCTTTCAGTTCCTCTTGGATCTTTGCACCTAAAGCATTGTTTTCCCGGGAGAAATTTCGATAACCAAGAGCATCCCCTACCCCTGCCAGCACAAGAGCAGCCTTACATTTCTCCATCCTAAAAGAGACTTTCCACTTTCCTTTTGTCTAAAGCAGCCACTGCGTCTTGGACTTTCTTTGTTCCTTTGCCTTCTGCTCAGTTACACTGACACTTTATATCAGCTATTGTGTCACTGTACAGAGCTCCCTCTATAAGGCAAGACCTTCCTTTTCTGGCTTTTTAGGTGTTACCTCTCGTCTGAAACCCAATGTGAGGAAATATTTTGTAATCCAAGGATTTCACAGGCTTTTAGTTTACTGTAAAAACACAAGTGTACCACTTGCAAGAAACAAAATGCAAAAATGAAAGTCATTCTTGCAACCCAGTGTAAAGCAAGCCAGGGAATACTCAGAATATCCAGTGCAAGTAACTCTACACTCAGAAAAACAAATACCTTCAGGGGAGGTACTAATTTATTTAATGACTTGTAAATATTTTTAATTTTGGTAATAATTTTGTTCTCTTTGTAAAATGGAGCAAAAACTAGAAGCAGTCTGCTGTTAGAAGAGATGGCCCAGATCTACTCCCAAAACCTCAAGGGAATCAAGGTTGGTAGGTTACAGATTACAAGCCAAGTAAATTTCAGTAGACCTTTCACATTTCTAACTATATCCCATGGCAATGCTGTATCAAATGGAAGCACGGACGGGTACATTACTGGATTTAGACTGGTGACCCAGAAAACATTAGTGCTGAATTCAACTGGCTGATTAAAAAAAAAAAAAGTTGTACTCTTTATACTCACAAATCAGAATGTTTAATGAATTAAAGAAGCAAGAAAAATAACAACTTACCTTACTGTTTCTCATTGGACAAATTAAAGAAATATGCAAAATAACTACTAACATACCATTTTGCTCTCACATTTTTCATACCAGCATAGGCCAAAAGCTGGTCATTATATGTTTTGGAATAAAAAGAGACTTTCCTGGGAGTCTAGGACAATTGTTTACACAGAAAAGGTCTAAACTAGTAATGATCTCACATTCTGATAAACAAACACTTCTGGTTTTTGTACTTAGTATTTTTCAGATGGTTTGTTTATCACAAATGTGCCCACAACTGTAACATGACATGGGGAAAGAGACTGCAGCACTCTGAACCCAATACTCAATACTTGTATTCAAATAGAGCTCTCTTCCCCTACTCCCTCAGACCACATACCAGCGTCTTTCTCCAACATGTCTATAGCAGATGACGAAAAATGACAGTTTCAAAGCACCATTTGCATTTTCTTAAATAAGTAAAAATATTTTATTTATTGGTTTTGCAGACAAATTTTCAAAAATGGGTTTATGAATTTAGAAACTTTGATTGTATAATTAAAAACTGAAACTCAGGGGAATTACTCAAGATCACACCAGCCATCCAGGGAGGAAGCATCTTCAACTCTTAATTCTGTGTCTCATTTACAAGACTTAGCATTCTTCCAGACCTCTACATTAACCACCATACCTAGTCCATTCGAGTTGCTGGGTAAGCTGTGTCACTGTGAAGAAGAGGCAAGAAAATCAACTACCAAAGCTAGTACTATGAGCAAGTACAGGCCTTATCAGATGAAAGGCTCCTTTCCAGAAATGGGCAAAGTTGTTGTCATTCCCCCTTTGTCTTATCCTTGGCCGAGAAGTGGACACCCGTGTCATGGATTTTGTCCTCTTACACCCTTCAAAACTGTGCTCTCTTTAGTCTCCTGTCTTTGACCTTTTAGGGAAGAATCCTTCTTCATTCAAAGGCATTTTGTGCCGATATCTGAACAAAGAGTGTGCTTTAAACTTCCTGCTTCTAACAAGGAGTCTCATTCCCCAGACTCTCTCAACAAGAAAGTGAAGAGCTTGATGTCTCTGTTCTTAAATTCTGAATGACAGCGCTATAATGTGTTGTTGTCTGAGGTGTTTGACACTTATTTCCTTCCAGGTGTCTTATACCCAAAATATAGCAAGAGCCATAAGTACATTATATTAGATAGCAGTTTAAGCACAGGGAAGGGCCTTTTTCCCCTTTTTTAAAGGAATTAGGCTCTAATGAAACTCAAAGTTATGATTGACAGTTTAGTTCTCTCAGGACGACAATACAATACACAAAATAGCAAAACTATTGCATTATTTGCAGACTAGTGTCTGAAAGGAGTTTTTTTGTAGGGCTTGATTTTCACAAAAAAGCAAGAGGTACCAGATGAAAACTAAGAGGGTTGAGAGGTAGGGAGGATTCAGGATTTGGCTGCCAGACTGAAAAACCCATTGTTCATAGACCTCCATAACAAGTAAAGTTGATGGCATGGGTGAGCCCAGCCACAAAAGACTTAAGATCAATCTGATCAGGCTAAAAACGTATACTGAAGCAAGTCTCAGCAAGACAAGACATAACTCAGGCTACTTTGAAACAGAAAGCAGTGAAATAAACAACATAAGGCATCCAAGGTATATCTATTTCCTTGAACCCAGTGGAGCGGGGAAGAGCCAGAAATGCCTTATCTCAGATTTAAATAATGACTTGGGGCAGACAGCAGCTCAGCTCCAGCTTCCACCCTGAGCTGAAGCTGGAACTGAGCCGCTGCCTGCCCCAGGCTGGGGTGACTTGTGCATCAGGGGAAGGGGACGGGGAAGACTGTACAGTGTAGGGCAGGGGTGGGCAAAATCCAGCCCATGGGCCAGATTGGACATGCAGGAGACTCCATTTCCCAGCCGCCCCGGCACTGTAATAGGTGGGGCCAGGATTTCTAAGGAGACCAGACCCAGTAGCGCTGACAGGGCATGTGGCAGGACAGGGAGCTGTTCTGGGACTGGGATCTTGCAACGGTGACAGCACGAGCCAGGACAGAGCTGCGATTTGTTGCCTGCATGCCCCACGCTCACCACTGCAAGATCCCGGCCCCAGAGCAGCTCCCCATCCAGCCACATACCCTCCCAGCGCTGCTGGGGCTGATCTCCATGGAAAGCCTGGCTCCACACTGTCACAGCACCACAGAAACCAGCCAGAGCTGCAGCAGAAGGTCCATGGCAGGGGGTATCGGGGTGGTCAGGCACAGGTATAGGGGGCAATGGGTAGGAAGACAAGAGGCACTTCACCCCCCTGCCACTGCTTTCCCCATCACAGTAGTGGGAAATAATTCATTTAAGATGGCCCCCCAATACTTAAATTATAGATGTGGAAAACTATAATTTTTCATTTTTCTATGTCTAGAATCTAATTACTGGGGGGGGGGGTATTAAATTTGAAGTCATCTTAGATTTGGGTAAGTACAGTATATGTTCTTTGTAGTAGTGTTGGAGCCATGTTATAGCCATGATGGTCCAGGAAATATGAGAGTATGAAGTTGATCCAATAAAAGATAGAACCCCCAGAAATCCTTGCTTCCCACATATGTTCCTTGTACTCATTTAATACTTTTTAGGTAATGGCACCATACTTAAAAGGATTCTGATATTATTGAAAATGAAAGGAAAATACTATGGACATAATGCATGGCATCTTGTAACAAGTTAAAAAAATTCTTCAAAAAATCAAATCTATCTGAGATTACAGAGGATTTATGCAAGCAGACAACATTTTGATCAGGAGACAATGGCCAATACTTATTCTTTTAAAAACTGACTTGGATTTTTAGCACCCCAACTGTTATTGCAATAATGATTAATTAAAACTACGAGAGTCAGGGCCAAAATCATCTTTTCATCTGCATTCATAAAGCATCGAGTATAACGGGATCTTGGTGTATGACAGGGGCTCAAAGGTGACACAGTATACAAATTATCATCATAAACCGAAGTTGTCAGGAGAATCTTGGATGACTGACACTTCTTCCTCCCTTCCACCCCAAATAAACATCTCCAACAATGAGTACCCCAATACCATGTTGGAATATAGGTGCAGAATCAACTCTAATGGAAGAAAAACACATGCTACCTACCATCACCTGGGTTTTCCTTGGTCTCTTGTTGATAGGCTTGAGCCTGTTTACTACAGCTTGCAAGATCTCAGCCAGAGGTCATGTTTTTGTGGTTGCCAAAATAAACTGCTCAGCTTCAGCAACAATTATTCCTATAAAAGTAATGTTAATACTCACAGCAGGGAAGAGCATGTGTGATTAACAGCTGCAAACAAAACAGCATGTAGAAACAGAGCCAATGGACAGCCTGGAGGGACTTCTCATTGTTCAAAAAGCTAAATTTCCAGGCCTAAAAATCTTGCATAAGAATTGAAGTGAAAACTGGAATGGTATGGATAGTTGATCTTGGGGGCAGAGGATGAGAAAAAGTAAGTAAGGCTTTTTACTCTCTTTAGGGAAACAGAGTAAGAAAGGAGTGAGGCATTGTCAGGAATTATGCTAAAAGCACTGCAACTGATGTTTTTGAGTAAGGTACACTGACTCCAAATGGAAGGAGATTGTAGAGATACTTAATTTTATTCCCAAACCAAGCAAAACAAGATGGCATGGACACTTATGGTATAGATGTGAGAACTCTAGCATCCACATCTAGTTATTCCCCAAATAAAGACAGGATCATTTATGGGATATGACTCCACCTAACAGGAGAGGCTGTTGACTGAAACAAGTTTAACCTAAGAAAAATGTTTTCCAAATAGCAAGAAAAAGGATTGAAACAGTAAGAGAGTTACCAGTGCAGAACAAATACAAGCCCAAAGCAGGAAGCTGGCTGAAGATAGTGGGGGAATGCAGGGTACATACCTGGAAGGTAATATGGAACCCAAAAAGAAAGTGTCCTCTATGAGCACCAGTGCAAGGTCTGAGAAACAAAACAATTTTATTGTTGGAGTATCACTCACTCATCCAATTTCATGGATAACCTTTTGGCAGATATCTTTGGGTATGAATGAATGCCTATGGGCACAAAGCTCAGCTCTTGAGATATTATAATGTGAAGCGAATCAGGTTCTAAAGGGATGTACAGCCATTAAAATTGTAGCGACTATCCTTCTTGTAGGAAAGGAGAGATGAAGGAAGAGGCAAATTAAGGACTGTAATATCAAGCTCCTACAACAAAACAAGTGCTAAGCATGAAGCTAAGGAAGACTGAGGTCCACTAAACTGGATCTCTGTTGCTTTCTGAAAGACTCTGCCTGGATCTTGAAAAACAGAGCAAACATTAAAGCATATGAGAAGTAGTATATTTGCTAGTAAAAGCCCAGACAGTTGGGGCTACTTGCAGGTCACCAAGGGAGATTCTTTTTTGCACCATGTTGGTAAGGTAGTGTAAGTGAAAACAAGAATAGAAGAGGGCACCAAGTGTTGCTCGTTTTTACAGAGAGTGCAAGCAGAAAGGCGTATGTATCCGTTTCTCAACCCCCTCCTCTCAGGAGGCTCCAGTTGCTCTAACTCAGACACATACAACATTTAAAATTGTTCATATTATTCCTATTTAAAAAGAAATCAAACCCCCCTTTATTTTCTGCCCCAACCTCCTCATTTTTCTGCTAACAAAATAGCGTGTATGACAAGTAAACAAAACATCCTAGCGTAGCAGTCCACGCTGTTTAACTGGCGTCCTTTACCCTTACACTTTGAAGGTTAACAGACTGGAGCTCAGGCAGTTGCTTTGGTCACTATACTGTTCCTTAATGAATCCATCACTGCAGCTCAACACAGCAGGAAGGGTCTAAGCCTTTCTGAAAAGTAAGAGCTTGGAGTGAAACAAAATGCCCTTTTAAGAACAAACAGGAAAAAAAAAACAACTCTGTTTTTGTTACATATTTGCCAGTCTCCGAATGATCCAGCTATATAAAAAAAAAACAAACACACAAAAAAAACCTTACCATTCCAACCAAACCATTACACAGACGAAAATCATACAAACAACGTGTGCGATTGATTTTGATGCATTATGTTGAAAGTCTATTTATTCTTTTTGCATTCCCACATCATTTACAAATGTACAGCTTACTTAGCAGCAAGACTCTCAGGTGCATCGCGTGAGTGAATGCCTATGGGTTCGCTCTCCTTAACATGGTATACATAAAATAATAACATTGATTTAGAACTAAGTACAAATGCTGTGACTCAGTTTCAGATATTCTAAACAAGTCAAACCAAATTGGCACAAACTTCAAAATGTATATATATATACACACACACACACGCACACGCACACACACACATATATATACACATACATACACACCCCCCCCCCCATATGTCTAGGCATTAATACTATATACATTGAACAGCCTAAAGTTTTTCTGTATAATTTGCTTTTATAAAATTGGTCATCCTAGATATTATCACTATACCAGTTTACTGAAAAGCCAAGTCAGAGTCAACCCCTTTGAGTAGATCAGAATACAGGACAGCAATAATTGGCAAGTATGCATCTGAAGTTTTTACTTTGTGATGCCTCAGAGTTAATAGCTAAGGGATATTGTTCTGTGCTATTATGTGAGGGGATGTTAGCTAAATTCCAGACTGCCTCAGAGATTTAGAAAACTGAAAACAGCACTGAAGGAAGGTACTCCACCCAGATGAACTGCAAGCTTTCAAGCAACTAATTTCCCTTGAAGCTGCTCTGTTCAGTCTCTCATACAACAGGCGTTTGCCATGAAGAGCCTCCACAGAAATTATATTTAAAAGCAGGTGAGTAAAGATGCATTTGAGGGAAACTGCAGTGCATCGGGACCACTGAACATCCTCCTCCTGTGAGACTAACTAAAAAGATAACCCCAACTCAGATGGGAAGCTTATCTGAGCAACTACATTAGTGCTTTCACCTTATTTTCTCTCAGTAAAAAAGGATTTTACACTGTGTATGAATTTTAAAAGTTGAAGAGGTTGTTTGATGGACTGAATCTATAGAAGTTCAGCATGAACAAATGTTGCACAAGCTCTGCTATAATGCAAGCCATTAGTTGTTTAAGGGATCTACAGAGTATGTTAATTCATGCTTGTTTTGTACTGTATGCATACATTTCAGGTTACAATTTTCTAAGAAATAAGCATTCTACTAAATTTGACACAGCTGTGGCTGACATAACTGGATATTAAATGCTCTCTATGTAATAGCTACAGATGCTATACCTTGGGGTTTTTTCCCCCCTCCGAAAAAACAGTGCAATTCTTCCTGCTTTTTAAAATTTGCCTTATTTGACTTCTGTAGAATAAACTATGCACTCAAATGTATTTCTACACAGATGCATAAGCTTAGTTAAGAAGCTGGTAGAGGACTGTTCTAGATGTAGTATTATTTCTTAGTTCCTATAAATATTAACTCCCACGTAGAAAGGAGACAGGCATCTAAAGACAGAGATACTGACATCTAGTGGCTAACTGTCAAACAAGATATAAGGTTCACAAAAACTCAAGGGGGTAAAACTAGACTAAGAATAAAAACCCACTGAATGGTTTATTTGTACCATGCCTGAGGTGGAACCTATTAAAGAAAATGTGCCAATTCAAAAATATGCAGACTTCCCCCTTCCTTTTTAACAGTATGAACAAATGAAACTCATACACGTGGAAGAAAGAATTAAGGTAAAATTTCCTTACTCGGCATGTTACATATTGACAGATAAATATTTATTTATATTTATTATGAGCTGACATATTTGAAACTCAACCACTTAAAAACTCTAAATGTTAGAGCTGTTTTAGTACTATGAATATCGCATCTTCATGATTTATGAACAAAAGTGGTGTATTAAGTCACAAGATGTTTAAAATTATCTTACATATGATCTAAATATTAAAAATACCAATAAATTATGTAACTTAGTTAACGTCCTATCATTTCCAAGGTCTTGTGTCAGTTCAACTCTTATACAGAGTTCAACTCTTAAATCAAGTAGTTGTAAATATTCCACAACTCTTTCCTTTAACAAACTTCTAGTGACTACAACAGACTCAGTGTGATGAGGTAGAATTTACAAAAGCCCCGTGTGTTAAAATATGTGAAAGTTTCCAGTGAAATCTCTTTCTTATACGTACATTTTATAATCAGAGATAGAAAGTCATTATAGAGAAAGAGAAGACTGGTCCTTGAGCTATACCAGAGCAGTCTATATGGAGGGATATAGAAGGGGAAAACAGCCGACTGACCTAAAGTCAGACCCGGTATAAACAGATACAACTCCACAGATGTCAGAGGTACTGCACCTATTTACACCTTCATTATTATTCAATTTTTATTTTACCAGAATACTTGGGTGCTGAAGTTTTTAGTGTAGAGAAAAAAAAAGTCTTCCAAAGTCCAAAAGTTTTTCCAGATTGGTATTGAGATATGTTATCTGTACTGTGGTTATAGTCTGTCTGTAGGTTTGCTTCTGTTTCGGGAGCAAACAAGTCAGGAACTGCATGCACAGAAGGCTGCATTTGCCTGGAATTTTTTTATCATACATTGCAGGGTAACAACAAAAAATCTTCCAATCTCACCAATTCATTACATACAAAAAATAAAACAGAAAATGTGAAATTGAAGAATAACTAAATTGTACTTAACTATGACACAATTATAAAAAGGTGTCTTTGGTTGTGTCTTTTTTTTTTCTTTTTTAATAAAGGTAAGGAATAGCCAAACCAACAGTGCAAATCCTATTCAAAGCATCTTTGGAGTCACAATACAATGTAGAGTAGCAATTGCTAACTAATTTGACTAAACACTTCATGAACACTGATGAAGTTAATTCTAAGGTGAGAAAAAAGCCAGGTACAATCAATCTATACATTAGAAAATGTAAAAATATAAAATTAGAATCCTGGCTTCAAGTAAAAAAAAAATATATCAGTAAGTATTTTGTCATAAGTTTATATGATTAGGACTAATTCACAGAGCTGACCTGTATAAAAATACAACATACTACATAAGTTTTATTTAGGGATTTAATTTATATACCACAAATACTGCTTTTAATATAAGTACAATATAATACAGTTTTAATTATGTAACTGCTGGTGTTCACCTTGGATCATGAACTGAATGGCATGCTGTGCTGTCAGAACTTCAATAAAATGGCCTCTAGTTAAACTTCTCCAAAGTATAAAATCATGCAAAAATCTACATCCTATATGATACACCCAGTACAATAATTGAAGCCAATATCCTATGAGCAGCCTGGACTATCTTCTGAGTTTGTTCTTGCAGTGTCCATAAGTCAGCCATCATTTCCTTTAGGCAGAAAGGAGCAAATCTCAGTTTTGTCACTGGCGTCTCACCGTGACTACTGAAACCAGCAACAGTGTGCGCGGTTATTGGCCAAAATGTCTTCGTTACCTGATGCAGTTCAGACTGCAAACTTAGTCTATTATGAAGAGTCTGTGGTTAGGATGTTTTACGCTTTCCTCCTGTGACTACTGGTCGTGCATACTCCACAAAATCGTCTATGAGAACAGGCCATGCTCCTAAATAAAAACCAAAAAATGGTTCATAATTTAAGAGAAACCTGTTTAGTCTTTAAATACAAATGATCACAAGTTCACAGCATGATATTATCTAGATGTTGGACTGACTATAATGTAGTAACTGCATAATCTTTCAGAAAATATAAAAATGTGCCTAAACAGTAAAAAAGCATAAACGCTGAAGCATATTCTCTCTCAACCGCATTACTGGGGAGGAGTATAAGTGTATTGCATGGGCATGCAGGGAGAAAAATCAGGAAAGCCAAGGCATGATTTAAAAATGTAACTAGTAAGAGACATAAAAGACAATAAAAAAAAAAAAAAAAAAAAAAAAAAAAAAAAATCTACAAGTATATCAGAAGTAAGAGGAAGACCAAGGAAAGCACAGGCCCCTTACTGAATACAGAGGGTAATAAGAGATGCAGAGAAGACCTGTTTAATGCATTTTTCACTTCAGTCTTCACAAATAAGGCTAGCTATCAGTTGATGAGTGCAGTTGGCAGTCAGGATAGGGAGGTCATAAACAGCTTAAAGTAGGTAAAGAACTAGTTAAGGATTACTTAAAGAACCTGGATGTTTAAGTCAGCAGGGCTAGATGGGATACATCCTGGAGTACTGAAGGAATGGGCTGAGGTAATTTCAGAACCAGTTGTTATTAGAGACCTTATGGAGGTCAGGTGAGGTCCTGGCTGACTGCAAAAGGGCAAATATATTGCCCATCTTTAAGAAAGGGGAGACTGAGGATCTGGGGAATTACAGACTGGACAGTCTGATCTCAATAGCAGGAAAGATCCAGGAGCAGATCATCAAGGAGTCCGTTTCTATGCATTTGGAGAAGAAAAAAACCAAAAAACGATCAGGAACAGCCAACATGGATTCATCAAGAGTAAGTCATGCCTGACCATCCTGATTCCCTTCTATGACAAGGTGATGGGCTCTGTGGATAGGGTTGGGGAGAGAAGAGAGGAAAAAACAGCGGACGTGATATACTTTGACTTAGTCAAGCCCTTATCATGGTAAGCTAAGGAAATACAGACTAGATTAAAAACACTCCTAGGTGTGTGTGTGTGTGTGTGTGTGTGTGTGTGTGTGTGTGTGTGTGTGTGTGTGTGTGTGTGTGTGTAATTGGCTGGATTTCCATGCTCAAAGAATATTAATCAGTGACCAATTGTCTAGTTGGGTGAAGGTATATAATTGGCTGGATTTTCATGCTCAAAGAATATTAATCAGTGACCAATTGTCTAGTTGGGTAAAGGTATCAAGTCGGGTAGCCAGGGACCTGTTCTAGGTTTTAATATTCTTTAATATCTTTATTGATGATTTGGGAGATGTGATTGAGTAGAGTTAGCAGATTTGTAGAGGATACTAAATTGGGTGGAGTTGCAGACATTCTGGAGGGTAGGACTAACATCCAGAAGGATTTTGATAAACTGGAGTAATGGTCTGAAATCAATAATGTTACAGCATACTCTATGTTACAAGAACACGTTTAAAATTGTATTAATACAACTGAAATGTAATTTAATCCTATTAAAGGCATTCATATCGTAATACAGAATACTCTTGTGCACAAAGTTATTCCAACATTGGTGTTTTTAGGCTAGAGGATGTTACTGTAAATATTTGAATGAGAACATGTAGATGCTAAGAAATATTTCTTTTAATATTTTATTAGCAGAGTTAAGGACCAGTATCATGTTTAAACCAATTATGAATTAGTATTTCCATAAGCAGAGTTAACTAACTCCCACACTTGTGCACACTAAAACATTTATATGTATTTTTTGCCATGAACGAGTAATAAAGCAACATTCAGTTAAAAATTAACAATCCTTATTGTATAAAAATTCAGTTTTAATGCGACTTTTGTAACATAACACACTGAAGCAGTAGAGTCAAGAATTATTTACTTTTTCTGTTCAGCCTAATAGAGATACATTTTTGGCAATAAATATGATATGGTATATTTGTGGTTAAACACCTAATGTAAATACATATTAAGATTCAAATGTCTTTGTGTTTATTTAAAACTATCCCAATTTTACTAAATCTAGTTTTAAAAAATGTAATACTTGTTACCTTCTTCATCATAGTTAGACATATCATCTGCAATCATATTTCCAAAGTCTAACAGAAGATTCCACGTATCTTTTGGGATTGATCTTTTATGATGTTCCTATATAATATGAAAACAAATTGCATTATAATAAAACTATTACAGAATTTGAAAATAATCTGTAACACCCAGTTTTTCCAAAAAAGAAAATGTCACATAGTTAAATATGATTATGATAATGCTCTCTACTAAATCCGGCAGCTTTCCAATAATACTATGAAATAAAATGCTGCTTGAAAGGGATAATCGTATAAACTGTACTGAACAGTTGCTTTTATTTCTTCTACTGTGCTCCCATTATTGTTTTTTAAGAGCTGTGACTTGTACAGGACTAGAGTTCAGGGCTAGTCCTGTACATGTCACTAGAGCTGTGACTTGTACAGGACTAGAGCCACACATTGAACTGGAGTGATAAAATATAGAAGAATTGTTCAGTGAGTACTGTCCATCCTGTATTAGATGGAGGCAGGGGGATCATGCAAGTTACAGCACAGGATCACACAATTAAAGATTACATCATAAGGCATAAAAGGACCTATGCTAAAATATCAACCAAAACAGTTCTCGGTTCAACATTTGCAATCCCAGTTACTTCAACTTGCTGGTAGCCTTTGCATGATATGACCATGTTTCTTAATTTCTCTCCCTAATTCAGAGTTGATACGCACCTTTCCATTGCCAGGAGATATAGGAAAAATGTCAGAGATTATGAAGATTTGCAAGTATGATGTACAAGTATGATGTGCTTCCACAGACAGAGAAAGCGCAGGTGGAAATAAGGATGGCAGGAAGAAGCCAGGAGGTTGTGGCCTCCAACCAAAGCATACGGCGACAGCAAACTGGATATACCACCAAAAATTTTTAGGACTAGTCCTATATGGGGCCAAAGTACACCAATCACACTTCATGCACATGTACATGATGGGCCCCTATTGTATTACTGACATTTCAAAAATGCTGTTTCCACTGCCTCACACAGACTTTAGAAGAGTTACAGCAATAAAGGAATACAGTATTTGTAAACCATAGCTACCTTAGGATATGAAATCAGGCATTCACAGGCTCAAAGCCTTTTAAGACTGAAATATGCAGTTGAATTAAAAGTGCACACTGATGAGTTTTGTTTATAAAGACAAATTCAGTTTACACCTGTGTTAACCTAAATTAGCAGGATGCTTACAGAGAACATCCTCCTATGCTGCATTAATTCTGGGAAAACACTAAAATACAGAGTATTAGTCTCACAAAAATTAAAAGATTAAAAAGTTTCAAAGCCAAGCACTCGCATTATGAAATATCACGATTTAAGGTTGCATAGGTAACCTTAACATGGCTCCCTCATGAATATGCATGATGATATATTATTTTGTCACCATCTTTTCTCACATACCACACCTTCAAATAAGACACACACCTTGTTTTGGGGAAGGCAGAATGAAGAAAAAAGATTTTTCCAGAACTATGGCCACACAGACTGGAGTGCCCAATTTTCAGCTCACTCACCCTGCCTTTTCTGCTCAGGCAAAAGCTATAATTTTCGCCCTTTCACAGATGAAAAAAGTCAGCAGCTGTTGGCTACTCCACCAAAAGCTAAAACTGTAGCTGAAGAGTGAACTCCGTGGGCAGATCTAGGATTCTGACAACAGATAAAAATATTCTGCAGACTGTGAAGTAGAAGAGAGGAGAGACCAGGAGCAGCAAGCAGACAGCAACATTGCTGAAGACAGGGTAGATTGATTAGTGAAACTTCAAGACGATCATAAAGGAGAGAAAATTGTTAACACCTGTGAAATGAAAAGCAAATCAGCAGAAATCAGGTAGATTATAATGAGTCATTAAGTCAACTGACTGCATCAGTGTTACCCAAATAAGAAATGCCAGTGTTGTTTCTGGGCAGGAGATTTTAAATTTTGGGTGGAGCAGGAATCAAAATAGAGTGAGACCATAATACTTAGGCTTGGCAGGATTTAATTTTTAATGGCTAGATGTTGATAAACATCAATTTCACTTGACACTTACAGGTCAATTATTGAAATTTGTAGAAAGGACACATTAAAAAAAATCCAGGATGGAGGCAAAGAAATCTGGGTCTGGGACACTGCATGTGTACACACACAAGCATGGGAGCTGCTGCAGGAGCTGGAGGCTGCACTGGTAAGGCTGTGACGGGTTGGAAGGGAGGGCTGGTAGCAGCAGGGAGCCCAGTGTTGCCTGCCAATTGCTCTGCCCAGGTCCCAGCTAAGGCAGGAGACAAACTCCCACACAGCCTGGCATGCCCATCCAGGATTAGGGAAAGGGCGAAATTCCCGCTGGGCCAGGCTCCACTGGAGTTTGGCCCCTGCCCCAGCTGGGACCTGGACAGAGTGAGGGGCTAGTGGCACAAGCCTCCCAAGTGCTACCAGCCCTGCCCCTCCAAACCATGCTTCTGGCACAGCCTTACCAGCACAGCTTTCAGCTCCTGCAGCAGCTGTCACATGTGCGCACGCTAAATTGATAAAAATGGAACACCCCTAATTTTCCGCAATTCTGAAAATTTCAATTGATAAAAATCTAAATAAATGCTTAAAAATAAACATACAAAAAACTAGAACTCTTGGATCCAAAATGATACCTTTTATTAGACCCACTGGAAAATGGCAAGAAAATTGTCCTTTTCTGCAAGCTTTCGGGAATCAAAGTCCCTTCGTCAGGCTCTGGGAAAAGTGTGGATGGTACAAGATGGTAAAAAGTCCCCATAGGTCGGAAATAAACTTAATTTTTTACACAGAGGGAGCTGAAGATGGAAGTCTGTCCCTCTGGGTCCATGAGAGTGTCTTTGCGAGCTGTGTTGAGTAGCTATTTGATGTGTTGATCAGGTAGAATTCCTTCCCTGAAGGTATCAGATGGTAGGTAGGGAGGCAAAAAAACCACCTCCGTGTTGTTCTGCAATGAAGTTGAAAATCCAGAATCGGCTGAAATTCAGCATCTTCCATGTTTTAGGGGTGTACTTGGTAGCCGTGTTGGTCTTGTACCATCTACACTTTTACCAGAGCCTGACGAAGGGACTTTGATTCCCGAAAGCTTGCAAAAAAGGACAATTTTCTTGCCATTTTCCAGTTGGTCTAATAAAAGTTATCAATTTGGAACCAAGAGTTCTAGTTTTTTTGTATGTCTTTTTGTTTCAGACCAACACGGCTACCAAGTACACCCCTAAAAATAAACATCAATTTTAGCCATCAAAATAATAATAAAAAAATAAAAACTGAATTTTGCCAATAGAAAACTGCACCCTCCTGAATCTGCTAATGCTGGACTCCACACCTCTCTCCATGCAAGTGCTGGTACATTTTAAAGCACAGACTCTTTGCTCAACTCCTCCAACCCACAGATATAAAGCAGAGGGCTTTCCCATCCTTGTCATCTCCCAGGCCCAGAACTGATCACAGCTGACCAGAGCTGCAATGCAGGAAAAGTGCTGCTCAGCACAGATGAAATCTTTAGAGTTTGTTTATAATGCTCTATCAAGTCTCCCGAATATGTGAAACTACAGTTTTCCAGAGGCTTTCAATCTGATTAGAGTCAGGCAGGTTTTACATGGCAAGAGTTGAAGGCACATCTGTGACAAAAGATGGCACTCCTGGCAAATTTCACGCCTCTATTGAAAAGTATGAGGATGCTAGCAGACAGTTTTTCAAAGAAAAAGTAACCCAAAACATTCAACACAGGCTAAATGCAAGTTTCAGTTGCCTCTTTATAGAACTGAACCATTTTGGTTGAAATGAAAAATAAATAAATAAATAAATAAAACCTGAAGACAGGTGTTGGGGACCAGATCCTACTCCACTTTCTATACACTTAAGCAGCAAGTAAGATGTAGCAATTGTATTGATACTGAAGGATACCACTATTACATCTGCATGATGCTGTAGTGAATGATACCAGTATAGCAAAACTGCTGCAGTTTTAGCCCTGCATCATTCGGGGTACAAGTTAGGGCAATTTAGGTCACTTGTATCACTACAGCATCATGCAGGCTGAACATTTACATCATTTAAGCTGTTGTACATTCCTGAGCAGCAGCTTCCCCTCTCCTTTTAAAGCAGCTAAACCATAATTTGTCCAGATCCTTAATGTGATCTTATTCTACTTGCTTGAATCCACAAAAATAAGTTAATATAAAAGATGGTTGAGGTCCTCTTCTTTCTCACTGCTTTTGTGCGATTTAGGTCTCAGAACTATGATGAGTGTGCGCTCCAAAATGAAGATGCATTAATGCAGGGCTCAGCAACCTACAGACATCTGATTCAGCTTGTGGACACGGGGCTTTGGTAGTGGGAGGCTTCGGAAGCAGTCAACCTTGGAAAGAGGTAGCAGTAGTAGCAGTGGACCCTCTTCCGACCCACCACAGGCAGAAGTGGTGGTAGCAGATGCACTCCCTGTGCCACTGTGGAAAAAAGCAGCAGCAGTGGCTGGGTCCTAGCATCCACCTACTTCTGATCTGAACTGAGTCATTCCAGCCTGCAGACTAAAAGTGTTGCCGATCACAGCTTTAATGGATTCCCATGGACTGGAACATAGTGGAATAGGATTGCAGTTATGCACCTATAGGTGGAACAGGATCTGGCCCTTGGCATGTAATTTCAACTGTTTAGGTTGAAATTTTACAAGAAACAAACAAAGGCTCCTTTAATTAGAAGTGTTGGGTAACTGTAATATGTGGAGCCACCAGCCCCAACTACAATACTGCTTAAGACAGCAATCTTTAAAATCTTACATAATGAACGTTGATTACATGGCTAAACAAAGAAAAGTTGAACATCTTATATAAAGAGAGATATCAAATGTATTAAAATTTATACTCAATTTCTCAAAGAGGGCACAATGTGAAATCTTATGACATCTTGTCGGGAGAAACTGGTGCACAAAACACAGACCTTCCATTTATAAACCCCAGCTGCTTCGGAGCTAGATTCACAGGAGATTTAAAATAAAATGTTTTACATTTAAAGAAAATACTTTGCTACTTTGAAACTGCCCGATTATAGGGATAAGCAAAGGACAGTGTTTTTAGAGTGAAAAGGAGTTAAATGACAAAATCCTTTATTTAAGATAAACTTTTATTAAAACTAAGTATACAGAATACTATATCCCTTGCAAAGAGATTTAGACCCTCCCCAGAAGTCCACGGATAGAAAAATGATATTCTTTAAGTACCATAACTTTCAGTCTATTACCGATTGCTCTCTAGAAAAGGAGTTATAACATTTTTAGTTAAAAGCTCCACTTTTTTTGGTTTATATATAAATTTTAAAAAAAGTCTCCTAAACTTTCAAGTCAGAAAATAACTGAATATAATTGAAGTATTCACAAATATCCATGATATTGCATGTATACATGTATGTATGTATTGTATTATATGTATAAATAGCATACAAGTAAAACATTTTAATCTGGTAGAAAACATGCCTGGTGATAAACAAAGCAGTCTGAGGATGGGATGGGACTGTTCAGCCTAGAAAAGAGACTTCAGGGGGGAGATCTGGTGGCAGCCTACAAATATATCAGGGGAGGGCATCAGGGGCTAGGCAAACAACTATTCACCAAGGCGCCCCAGCGGAAAGCCAGGATCAATGGTCAAAAACTCCTAGAAGAATGTTTCAGACCATGCAGCAAAACCCCCCGTTTTCCTTTTTTATTTTAAAATGCATTCTCTCCCCTTCCCCAACCATTTCTGACTTTTTCTCTCCCTCGCTATTCCCTATAGATAAGTATAAGTAAGCTAAGATGTAGGATAAGCTTTAACATTTTATTTTAGGTAGTAAGTTTTATTTTTCTCTCCCTTCTTTGCAAATAAGTTCCCTGCTTTTTTTGATATTGATACCTACTGTTTTATAAGTGATAATTATTACGTTTGTACTGCTTTTATATTGTGTGATTACTGTTTTAGGCCTATATATGTAAGTTAGTGTAAGTCATGTCAAGTTTCCATTTTGTATGCCAAGCCTCCATCTTGTGTCCTCTGCCCGGGCATCCCCTGTGTTGCAACTGTATGATTCATGTACCCCTCCCATGTAAATTAGTTCCATGTGAATGAATGAGAGTGATTGGGAATGACTGAAATACAATGGTAGCAGGCCTCTACTGAATGGCCTGTAACAACCAGGCCATCACCTCACATTGATTAATCCAGGAACCATGGACCTCACCCAGGAACAGAGACAAGAATCCAGCATTTGAAAGACAAAAGACCCTGCAGAACCAGCAACTCTACCATTGTACCCCACTATTACAGACACCCGAAACTGCACATCCCTGCATGGAGCACACATGCTCAGTACACCGGGGCTGGCCTTTGCCTGGGCATGCCTCCTGTCACTAGGGTCACACAAGGTCTGCCCCTATAAGAAGGGGCAGTGAAAACAGACCCAGTGGGATGCCCTCTGGATCTGGACCAGACCATGCCACACCACCTATCCACCCAGTGGAGGCCTGCCAGTGACCCTGCTCTGGACAACACCTACTGGACAACACCTATTGGGATGTGAATAGTGGGGTCCCCCAGGGCTTGGTCCTGGGGCCTACACTGTTCAACATCTTAATCAGCGACTTGGACAAGGGGGTAGAAAACAAATTGTCCAAGTCCGCCAACGACACCAAGATGTGGGGAGAGGTAGGCACGCTCGAAGGGAGAGAGAGGCTGCAATTAGATTTAGACAGACTACAGAAGTGGGCGGATGGTAATAGCATGGGCTTCAACGTGGATAAGTGCAGGGTGCTGCACCTGGGGAGAAAGAATCCACAGCATACATACAAGCTAGGGAGCTCCCCGCTTGAGAGCACAGAGGCGGAAAGGGATCTTGGGAGTCATTACTGACTCCAAGATGAACATTAGCCGCCCATGCCCAGACTGCAGCCAGCAATGCCAACTGCACGTTGTTGTGCATCCAGATGCATCTCAAGCCGGTCCAGAGAGGCGATACTCCCCCTCTATGCGACATTGGTCCGGCCCAATTGGAGTACTGCGTTCAGTTCTGGGAACCGCACTTTAAGAAGGATGTGGCCTGCCTTGAGAGGGTTCAAAGGAGGGCCACCTGCTTGGTTGGAGAGCAACAGGGCAGGCCCTATGAGGAGAGGCTGAGGGACCTGAACCTGTTCAGCTTCAGCAAACGGAGGCTGAGGGGGGATTTGGTGGCTGCCTACAAACTCGTTAGGGGAGATCAGCAGCAAATAGGAAGGGCTCTATTCCCCCTAGCATCTGGGGTGACAAGGAACAATGGCCAGAAGCTGCTGGTGAACAGGTTCAGGTTCACCAGCAGTTCTCCATCTCCAGTGTGTGTGTGTGTGTGTGTGTGTGTGTGTGTGTGTGTGTGTGTGTGTGTGTGTATACGCACACACACCTCATTGATTTGTGTGTTTGTATATGTGCAATTGTGTCACACCTCCTGTCTAACAGCACAATATTGAGATCCTGAAAGTTGTCCTGACCCCACAGGGCAGCAACTGGATGCAAGGAAAAATGTCTTCATGGTTCATGTGATCAGACTCTGGAATGATCTGACTCCAGCAGTCTTTCCTGCCCAGAGCAGGAGGGCTGGACCTGATGATCTCACAAGGTCCCTTCCAGCCCTAAACTTCTGTGAATCTGTGATGGAGCCAATGTAGGTTCAATCTAAAATCAGAGTTACATTGTACATTCAACTTTCCCCCAGAGGAGAATACATGGTCACCTAGTACTCAAACTATAAAATAATGTATTGTTATCTCTCTGCTTCACTTCCTTTTCTCCACATTAGGGAAGTTATACAGATAGGATTAATTTAGTTTGCCTTAACAATGTTCCACATGAATTTTCAAATGCAAAGATGCTCAGAAAGAAACCGATGCCTTTTACTTGGTGTTTCTTTTCTCTGCAATGTATACCACTTCCAAATTGCTTAGTTTACCTTAATAATGTGAATCAACTTTGACAGGAAGAAAAACATACTTACCAACAAAAATTTATTCCAAAGATCTAAAAATTTAAACCTTCCTGATAAGACTAAATTCCAATATGCTATTGCCATTTCTAGATCTGCAAGAAACAAAACACAATGTAAATATGACAGTGCTATATCTTTCATTTCAGTTTTCATTCATTTAATATATATTGCTATAAATTATCCAGAAATTGGGAATGAAAACAAGAGGAAAGATGTTTCATTTTACTTTTTCATTATGGTGTTAATAAGAATACTTAAGAATTGAGTGAATAGTTTGCCTTATTTAATCCTAAACTGAGACTCCCTATGAGAGCAGCATTACTAAGAGCTCAGGTTATATTCTCCAGAAAGAAGAATCACTGGTGTAGTGCACTGATATGAAAGAGGTTTGAACATAAGTTACCACTGCTGCTTGTGGTCTCCTATTCTTGACCCTACAAAACGAAGGTTCTAAGCTAGTGTATAAAGTTGTAGAACACCAGGATAAAATCATAATGCTTGCAAACGAAACACACAGTCTGTGTGTAAAAATTCATATGCTTAAAAATGGTCATCAGACCAAATGCTGCCCTCTGAATAAATAACTGAAGCCTTTAGAGAAAGTGTTGACATATACTTAGAAGAAAGCCCCCCATCTCTAATGACAACAAAGCAGAAAATATGACTTTTACATTTCAAACTTGATCATGCCAGCAAAAGCAGTATCTGGTTTGAAGACAATAGACAAGTCTAGCCCATTACGTAGGAAGGGAGGTAAGGGGGCAAAAAAGCCCCCTTGGCTGAACAGGGAACTCCAGGAGAGTCTGGAGGCAAAGAAAGAGATGTATAGGCAATGGAAGCAGGGAGCAGCCACCAAGGAGGAATATATCTCCCTGGCGTGCTATTGCAGGGAATCAGTTAGACAGGCCAAGGCGGGGCTTGAGCTCAGGCTGGCTTCAACAATCAAGGGCAATAAAAAGTCCTTCAGGTATATAGTGGGCAAAAGGAAAGCTCAGAGCAACAGAGCCTCTGCAGGACAAATCAGGACAGTTGGTGGTTGATGCGGGGAAAAAAGCAGAGCTCTTCAATGAGTTCTTCGCTTCAGTATTTCTATGTGCCGACCAAGCCAATTCCCCCACCTCGATCATTGACGGATGTCCACAGGGCACCAGTCCGCCTATGGTTAGTTCTGAAATAGTTAAGGAACTCCTGGAGGAGCTGGATGGGTACAAGTCAGCAGGCCCGGATG